CGATCCAACTTCTCTGTTGCAATAAATAAGGATTTTAGCGACAAATTACCACACGAAAACGTTTCACCCTTTCTTGGGAAAGTTGGAAACTAGTGAAAATAGGATAGGCAACTGTAGGCGTTTCGACCAATGCAAACAAAGGATTCAAATCAATTTCACTCAGTGCCTGTAAATGCTTTCGGAAACAATACTCTTCAACTCGAGCCCTTGTTTCTTTGATTCGACTATATACAAGTTTCTTTGTATGTAAATTTAGTCATATAAAAGAATAAGGAAATATATAAAATGCAAGACAATGCATCAAAATAATCTTTATCGGTTTTACTTGCACGAATGCTGTTGTCATATATGGAATCTTTATTATACTCATACCAGCTCTAATAGTATATGTCCATCCATTGATTACAAATAATACCATTCTACTGCTTACTACGATTCTAGTGCCTATTTTATATGGTTATCGTTAATAATAAACACAAAACTGAGATTTTCGTATTTCAAAGCTCCATAAGATATTTTATGTATCAAACATAATTCGTCTTCAAAATTTTGTGAACCGCTGGTCTACTTAAATACTGCGCTTGGTCGACGATGATAATTATCAAAAGTTGTGCATAGTTTACGTAAGTAAATATCTTATAAGAGTATTTCGAACATCGTCAAATCCATCAAAAGTCAATTTATTCTGTGTAAAGCCCCTTAATAACGGTTAGACAGTTTATACCCCACAGTTACGACAGCCGATATCTCACTTGATTACAACTTAAGGAAGTTAATAGCCAAAGCAAACCTATAGAATTACTCAAATGACGCAGCCTCTCATATTTCCATCGACGCTTCTCGAGGTAGCTGTGTTTCGGGGAGTATAATAAAGACATTTTCCAGGGTGATAGACCGTCCGATATCTTATTACAGCGAGCTTGTAAACTGACGGAACGCTCCTCGAATCACTGCCTTTATGGCTTGCGCTCCCGATATTCACCTTCGTGAACATTTCTAACGAAACATCTTACGCACCAAAATACACTCTCTCGCTTAAAATCGAAGGCTTAAATTGATCTACCGCCGCTGAATAGCGACGTGGGCTGATATAGGCAGATTTTTTGTCGACTGTGATGGATAAAGCGAAGGAGAGGAGGACAACTTGATTGAAAAACCCGTTAAAGGAAATAGGTGCTTTTAAGAAATTTTGAAAGACTGAAAATACGTACTGTTTCTGATTTGGTCATCAACCTTAATCTCATTAAAGTTTTACTGTTACATGCAATATTACATGCCAATTATTTTAAAATTTATTCAGAATATTGTATCCACTTCCACTTTGGCAACTACTAGCAAACTCCACTTATGTGGAAGCTTATATTCAGCAGTGGACAGTTAACGACTTACATGATCGCATCCATTTCATCAATTTATAATTCTGTATAATTATTATACCCTATCTAGGTACGTACACTCAAACATAAGAATAGATTTAATGTATCAAATCGGCGATTGAAACTTATAATGTTCCACTATTTTTTTTTTTATTTTTATTACAAAAATTTGATGAATTGAGGCAGATACATTTCTTTCTATCAGGCGACTAAATGCTGAAATAACATACCCCCTCCAGTGAGACTAGCTGCATCCAAATCAATTTTTAAAAAGTTATTAAAACAACATTTATTAAATAAGCAAAAACTTGCGTTGATCGGTTAGTAGCAACTACTTTCAACATAATAATTATTGTGGTGAATTATTTATATTGTATGTTTAATTAATTAATGAAATATATTATTCATGCATCATTTATGTAAACATGTAATCTATATAATACAATTTTATCTTTGACTGTTAAATTGGTCACACAGGGTTACACTCTGGGTTTGTTGTACGCGTCCGTGTAGCCTAACTTCAGGCTGAAAATCAGTTTTTTGCTTTTAAACACAACTATCACTAAGCTGTAGCCTATTTGGGTCACTGCGACATACATGGCGAAAACATATTTTCGTATTTTATCTTTTGTTTTATATTTAAAAAAAGTGTAATTTGATTGTATAAACTCCTTTGTTAATTTACGTGTGTCATAAATGGCTCAAATAGAGTGTTTATCTATCTATCTATCTTTGTGATAATTGAAATGCTTTTCCAGAGTGCGCATATTGAAATCTACCTTTTAAAAAAACAATACGTAAGAATGCAAAAGAATATTTAATTTAAAGTTTTGGATTTATCTACTGAGTTGATGTTGTCTAAGATAAATAAGTAAAAAGTTTTTATCCTTAACTATCATCAACATTTATGAAAAAGAATAATGTACTAAGTACATTATACTTTGTCAGATCTCTAAAAGAATTTTTCGTCCACTACCTAAGACCTTTTTTATTATAGATTCATAAAATATAATAGGTATACAATTCTGCGTCTCACGTTCGACAATTAAGGTAATGAATAAAAATTATTTGTGCGTAGTTTGCGCAAGCACCCTTAAAATAGTACCTTTACAAGATCTCTTAGTTGCCGTATATTTATGTCTAACCATCAAAATACATTTTGTGCAGAATAAATATATAATTTAAAGTAAAACTAAATAAAACTGCTCATCTCTATAAAAAAATATATTGTATGAAAAACATTATCGAATTAAATAATGATATACACTAAGGATATACAATACACTTTCTATACCTATTGTGTTGTGGGAATTTATTATTTCGTGTTGTTTTATAAGAATGAAATGCAGATTTAAGCAATGATACTGAATTGCAATAATAAATGGCTTATACCTAGAATTTGTTTAGTACAGAACTGAATAATAAGTTTCCCGTAAAGGGACAGAAAGCGAGCGGGTCGTTTATTAAATTAATTTGTCACAGTTGCCGGTTCGCTTGCCTTATATAAAACATCTATTTAATTTTATTACAAATAAGGACTTTAGTTACCTTGTTTGTAACAAAATACATCTTTATGTGTTGTAATTTTAATGTTTTATACACCACCAAAACGGCAAATGAGCCCCCCATTTACGAGTATAGCAGGCTGCAACTTCTCTGGTGCGTATTTTTTATTGTGTCCAAAGTTCTGCTACTGAATTTTTAAATTTAATTTTTTTTACTACTAGGAAGCCTTCGAACAGAAAACAAACTTATGAATCACCTGATTGATATGGCCTACATATATGGTAGACAAGAATAGTACATTGAGTGTCATAGAATATACTGTGACATTCATGGTATTCCCTATTCCTCAAATGTTGAAATTTTTTTTTAAATACACTAATGGCCATACTCTACCTAAAAAATAATTTGTTATATACCTAGTCCAGCCATAAGTTCTGTTACAAATCAAAATGCATTTTTTTTATGAAGTAATCTAATATTACTAAAATTTATACCTACATATTCATTAAAGTTTCAACAAAAAATAAAAAAAAATATTCTATTCAAAATGACCACCTTTGACTTTTATACAGGTCTTTAACCTGTCTGGCCACGAATCTATGGATTTACGCACTGTTTCCATCGGAAATTTCATCACTGCTCGCTCCAAAAAAATTTTAAGAGACTTAATGGCACCGTGTCCTTTAGAGAATGCCATGTCCTCTAAAACTGACCATAATTTGAAGTCTAAAGAGTCGAGGTCTGGGCTAGATGAGGGCCAGTCTTCAGCTTTTATAAAGTCCGGAATGTTGATTTCAAGCCAAGTTTGGGTAGTTCGTGCCAGGTGCAGAATCCTGCTAGAAAGTCCACGGTATATTTAAAAAAAAATTATTGCTCAAAGATTTCACAACACGATCCAAGACTGTATCAAAATACACTCTGGCTGAAGTTTTCACTCCTTTTTCACAAAAATGTAGTTTTGTGACTCCTTAATAAGACACGCCCTACCAAACCATCACTGACGTAGGATGATGATCACGTTGTACCTTGCCGACCACTTGAGCAGCTTCTTTAGAACTATGAGTGTACACTTTATCATTTTATATACTGTAGTGTTCTTCAATCGTGAAAAATTTTTCATCGGTAAAGAGGATATTTCTGTGTCTTTCACCTGCGTATCGCGACAGAAGGCGTTTTGATCGTTCCATTCTCTTTAATAATAATAATAATTCTTTATTGCACCAACAAATATAAAAATGTACAATGTTCATTATACAATTCAAGTGAGATACAGTTGCATAAAGTACAATTTACAATTTTTATAATTTATATTGAAAAGATTGATTTAGGGCATGTCGTGTATATCGACGATAAGCACCAAACTTCAGGTCTTGTTTTATAATACACGACAGAGTCCTAGGGGGAATCTTTATTTCTCGCGATAAGATTTTTTGCTTCCTAATGGGGTTTCGACGAATTCTGACTTTAACAGCATTAACAGCTTTTATAGTTCTAACAGCAGGCGGCCGCGCCGCCCCGATCTTTTCTAGTCTTAGATAGAGGAAGTGTTGTTGTATCTATTGATAGTATTATATACGAACATATGGCTGATACCAAGCTTTTGAAGTGTCTGGAATATGATTGACGGCTCCATACTCACTTTGTGCAAAGCGATTATGAATGTGCTATTTTCTTTAACACCCCATTCCATATTGTAATTTGATAATGAACATGAAAAAATACGTGAAATGGCCCGAAATCAAAAGAAATTTTTAAAATAATAAACGTGTTCCAAATTCAAAATAATTAAAAAGTTGAAAAAAGAAAAAATATATATAACAGTATTTATGCCCAGACTAGTTATATCGTACTTATGTTCCTGTGGTACTCCTCAATCTCCTGATTGCATATAGAAATATCAACACAATAAAAGAAATGAATATTCAAAGTATTGTATAATTATTTACAGTATAAATATACATTTAGTATTATAGTATTTAAGAATAATCAGATTTTAAATTACAACAAATACTAAACTTATACATTAAAGTATACTAACGGCTAAACTAGTAAACTAGGATGAATATTTTTATTTATTGCAACACTGAACGATGCGTCATCTGTCTTGTGCCGTCATTTTTGCTTTACTTGTCAAATTAGGTATCAATTTCCCTTCTCTTTAGTTGCAGTAATTTTACCGCAATATTAATTATTGATTCTTATAAGAAAACGTCTACTCCCGTAAAACATCATGGGAGACTCCCTAGATGGGAGTGAAAATACTCCTGAGGCTCAAAATGTAGTCGTAGTTGATTTTCAAGATTTTGCAAATTACTTACGCCGCGCAGCAACGGTACTTTTACCTGAAGATGACATCGTTCCACCGGCATTAAATGCTGCACTCGACGATAAAGTGAATCAAGACTGCATTCGAAAATTCGTCTGTGATCCACAAGTTTCTTCATTGTACGTGCAGCGATTTTCGTCCAAAGGTAATTACCCCTTTATCTGATAGGTAACATTACGGTTAAAAAAAATTTATATTATATTAGATATAATAAATAAATGGTGACCCACATAATGAAAAATACACAATTCGTATTATTTGTCATCAAATTTATAGATAAAAATTCGAAAGGAAAGGAAGAGTAGTTCTTTTATAACTACCCCTCATTTCACCCCTTTTCACCCTAAAGAATATTGTAAGAGGTAACTTGACGAAGTCGTAGATATAGGTTGTAATAAACTGTTCATATTATGAACCTATATTTTATGTCACTTTTTTATGAAGCAATTTACTCTATTGTATTTAGACCAATCTGTCTACTTATAAAGCTGAAGTTAAAATTCTAATCTATTAATTAATCATATACATGATAGTATAACAAAACTGTTTAGTACAGGAATAGCTGTAGAGGTGTATTTATTTAAAACTATGCTATATTTATATCCATATTATACAGTGTATTATAAATTTCTTAGACCTCAATTTCATATTTTAAATATGTAAAATTTTGTTATAGAAGATGACAATGAACAGCCAACAGAAGGTGAAGAAGAGAAAGAAGCTGTTACTTATCAAATCAGTAATGAGGTAATTACACAAAAATACAGAATCCAACTAATAATTTGAACACTATCATTACATATTTATATTTAATACTAGCTGTTGCCCACAACTTCGTCTGCTTTTCTGTAATTTTTCGTAAAATATGTAATATATAAAATATGCCTATGTCCTTCCTCACGGTTCAGTGGTTTTGATGTAACAGACACATTTCCCTTCACTGCTCTGCTCCTATTGATCGTAGCGTGATGAAAAGTATACTATATCCTACCCAAGAGTATGAAGAATAATTGTACCAAGTTTCTTTAAAATCCGTTGAGTAGTTTTTGTTTCTATAACGAACATACAGACAAAAAAATTTTACTGATTGCATTTTTGGCATCAGTATCGATCACTAATCAACCCCTGATAGTTATTTTGGAAATATATTTCATGTACAGAATTGACCTCTCTACAGATTTATTATAAGTATAGATTTATCACAATGTTTATTTAATTTTTTTTTTACATTAATCAGAAAAGAAGAATTAGAAATGTTCATGAACTCATATAATGTTAATAACAATTACACATAATGAATGGTTACATTTTATATTCTCTTTGGTGTTAATAACACACCACTCAAATTGTTAAAATTATTGTATTTCATATGTTAATATTTATAACAGTATTTGATAATTGGAACTTCATTTATGGATAATTACTCCAAAATATAGTAAAAGTTTTTATTCCACATTGATTACACTAAATTCCACTGCCATGTACCTATCCAAAATAAAACAAGTGTTTCTGTGATTTAACATTTTAATTTTGAAAACATTAAAATATTATAATTGAATTCATTACTGTAACTCCTTATTTGGTGCAGAGTTGAAACTATTTTATCTTCTGCTGACTCATACACAAATTGCTTTTTAGTACTTATAATTCTAGTCATGTAAAATAAGAATGTTCATGAGTCCACCCATACAGCCTTAAATGACACAAATGTATGCAATATAAATATTCATACTGTATCATACTTTAAATGTAAAGGTGAAGCAAATAATAAAAAATATAACTCTCATGATTAACTCATTAGTAAATAGTAATACCTAACATTTTTATTATTTTAAATTGTTTATATTTATTTAATTAAATTATATTGTATTATTATTTTAAAATTAGTTCTGTGTCTTAACACATATAAAAAATCATCAATGGATTCCTTAAATTTATTATTTAATTAAAAATATTTATACAAGAATAATCATAAGCAGTTCTAACATTTTTATTCAACCTTATTATACAGCAATCTCTAGCTTCTAATGAGTTATACTAGATATTTCTTCTACTTTCCTCATAAATATTTATGCAGAATCTTAATAAAAAAACATGCTTTACAAAACAAACATTCAAATCTAATAGTAACATTCTTTAACAAAAATAACAGCTATTGTAGATTATATCATTCAAATAAATATATTAAAACTCATAGATCAATATATTTATCATCATGAATATAAATATCTGTATTGTGCAAGGATCGAAGCCACAAACATCAATTGAACATGGAAACAGTGTATTAAATCCCTACATTTTCAAATTAAACCCATCTCTATTTTTAATTCTTAAACTTACTACAAACAGGTGCACTTCACATCTCCACGTGTGGCAGCTTTTGTGTGTATCAAACGTGGAGCTGTTATAGAAGCTGACAAGTCTATACACAGCCAGTTACGCCTCATCAATCTATCTGATGGCTCACCTTACGAGACACTTCATGCTTTTATTAGCAAGACCATGGCACCTTTTTTCAAGAGTTATGTCAAGGAAAGTGGTAGAGCTGACAGGTTAGTTCTATACTTGCCTATCACTATATCATTCTAAAATTATAATTTTGAGACTAAATATATATATAATCATATGTATATCTATATATATATATTTATCAATCAGGGATGGAGACAAAATGGCACCATCTGTTGAAAAGAAGATTGCAGAGCTGGAGATGGGTCTTTTACATCTGCAGCAGAACATAGACATCCCGGAGATTACACTACCTGTACATCCTTTAGTCGCAGCTGTTATCAAGCGGTAAAACATTCTCATTAATCTAAAAATATAATAAAAATTGAATATCTTTTTATTTACGTAGTTAAGCTATTTTTCTAGGTCTATTTAAGATATTTTTAAATAACCTTCAAAAGGCATATGGAATAGTAGAAGTCTATCAACAAATCTTGTCAAGTATTGAAATTAAAAAATAATTTTTATACATATTGTTTGACAGAGCTGCAGATGAAGGACGTAAGCCTCGCGTGGCTGACTTTGGTGATAAAGTTGAAGATTCTACATTCCTTAACCAGCTACAAAATGGTGTCAATAGGTGGATTAAAGAAATACAAAAGGTATAAAATATATTTTTTTTTATTGTATTTAGTAAAATATAAAAACCCAATTACTAATATTGCAAGCAATAGGGCTGTCAAACTCCATTGCTAACAATCCCTTTCCCCCTACTTATATATTTTTTTGTTGTTATTTACAAGGTCACCAAACTGGATCGCGACCCTTCCAATGGCACAGCTCTCCAGGAAATATCATTTTGGCTCAATTTGGAAAGAGCACTTCATCGCATCCAAGAAAAACGAGAGAGCATTGAGGTTTGGATTTTTTATAATAAAAATAAAAGTAATAATCTCAAATAATAAAAATATATAACTTTTTTTAATATTTTTTTTTATGTTTCCAGGTGGCTCTTACCTTAGAGATTCTGAAGTATGGCAAACGTTTCCATGCCACTGTGTCCTTTGACACAGATACTGGCTTAAAACAAGCACTTGCAACTGTCTCAGACTACAACCCTCTCATGAAAGATTTCCCAATAAATGACCTTCTCAGTGCTACTGAACTTGAGAGAATAAGGTAAAATATATTTTAAAACATGTTGAAAATGTTATTTTAAATACATATAAATAAAAACAAGCTAAACTAAAATTTACAGGTTAGCAGTGCAACAAATTTTCTCTCATCTTCGCAAAATTCGCTCTACAAAATACCCCATCCAACGAGGGCTAAGACTCGTCGAAGCTATCTCCCGTGATCTTGGACAACAACTATTAAAGGTATGATTTTTTGTCACATTTTAAGGTTTTTACATACAGTGGCTGTTAATATTTTATAGAATCTATTGAGTTTAAAAACAGACGAAGGCAGTCTACTTCCAAGGCCTACAACCTTCAGCTACGCGCGCTACTTTTAAATAAAGAATGAATCTAATAAAAAAAAACAGTTATGACATAAAGCCAATTACAAATTTTCACAAATAAAATTGAGATTTAACTAATGCACATGGCATCACTAATACAATCAACTAAATTAAACTTAGAATAACAACATTATAGGTAGGCAGTTATGCAAAACAAAAAGTTGAAATCACACTTCCAAAAACGAACCATTAAAGAATCACTGACTCAGTACACGACTTGCGGATTCTATCTTAGAATTAAATCTAAATTTTTAATCTAAATACTAAATATTTTATTAAAATCATTGCTTGCACGCTAGAGATATGATTTTTTCTATAGTTAGTAGAAACAAATGAAGAAATAAGGTGGCATTTCATCTTAATGGTTTGGTTAGGACACGTTAAGAGACTTAATATAGAAAAATTTACTCACATTTTTTAAGTTTGGGGATGTCCAACTAATTCCAAAGTCAATATTCAAATCTCGAAACTTCCTTCTTAGCTTGACTTCCCCAAACTTAAAAATGTGAGTAAAGTCAACATAAATAAATACAATACAGTATGACGTACAATAATTACTATTCAACAATAACAAATCTTTTTTTCTTTTTTTGTTAATTACCAATACTAATTGCAAATGAGACCTAGCCTTAGAAGAGTGCCATTTTCACTTTAATCTCGTCAATCCCAATATTTTTAATTGACACGTTCTATTTCTTATTTATTTAGGTCCTCGGAACTCGTCGTCTGATGCATATTCCTTTTGAGGACTTTGAGCGAGTTATGACACAATGTTTTGAAGTGTTCTCTTGTTGGGATGATGAATATGAAAAACTACAAGGGTTATTACGGTATGTTGCTTTTATTAATTTAATTTTGATAATATTAAATCATCTAACATTAAGCAATTAACTATAATAGATATAATTAATAATATATAAATAGAAAACATTACAATGTATTATACACTAATTTTGACTATTAAAGTGGTTTATATCTTTCTGTCGAGTTAATTCATAATTTGAAATGAAATTACAAAATATTGACAGTATTATTATAGGTTTATCTTTTATATTTGATTTTATTTTTTATATATTTAATATGTTTTTTATGTACAGCGATATTGTGAAGAAAAAGCGCGATGAACACCTTAAAATGGTATGGCGCGTTTCACCGTCCCACAAGCGATTGCAAGCGCGCATGGAGCACATGCGCAGATTCAGACGACACCACGAACAACTGCGCACTGTCATGCTTAGGGTGAGATAATATTATTAGGGTAATAATAGTATCTCATTGTTGATTTCTCATATCAACCGTTATTTCGAAAAGTAAATATTATTATATCAAAAACTAATTATAACATTTATTATTATATGGAAGGCTAGTGAGTTTTATGTATGTACACTAATGCACTATGTACGAAAAAAGTATAAAATAGAATTGGATTTAACAAATGTTTTTTAACAAGTTGCTAGTCTTGTGTTTTTGTTTTTGATTATTGATGATTTTTTTTATACAACTTAGAATGGCAAACAAGCTGACGGCCCACCTGATGGAAAGTGGTAATCGTCACCTATAGACATGAGCAGTACCATGGACATAACAGAGTATACTGTTTCGCCCATGATACCCCCCATGCGTTGCCATTCCTGAGGACTCAGGTGTTATTCCTCTGTACCCTGTAAATTCACGGCATATCCCATCCTTCAAACCGAAACACAGCCATGCAAACACAACTGCTTTATGGTTGAAACACGAATGGGACAGAAGTATACAAGCTAACGACTTTTGTACAAAGTCTCTCTCTGGTAATGATTGTTAAAAAGTCTGTAAAAATACATGGAAAAATGAAACAATAATCGTAATAAACATTTATATTGAAAGAAGGTCAGAAGGAAGTAAAAGAATGTCTGCTAAAAGTAGAATGACTCATTCTCATTCTAATTATTTCTTTCTTTATTTATCAAATATATTTACAATTTTCACTCTTTTTTCGTTGTCTACTTTGTTAATAATAAAAAAAAAAAATAGGTGCTACGTCCACGTGCCAATGTAGCTACAGAAACAGGCGCCGGTGGTGAGCCAGCTCAACCGCACTCGTTACCTATGGATGCCGCTGATGCTAACGCAATCGCTGAGGTTTGTAGATCATTATTAATATTTGATTTGGTTGTAACTTTTTTATTATATAATACATATTAAGAAAGCCTTGGATATCACATGTTCATTATTATTTCAGGTGAACCTGGCATATGAAAATGTAAAAGAAGTAGATTGTTTAGACATCTCTCGTGAAGGATGTGATGCTTGGGAAGCTGCTGTGCGTCGTTATGAGGATAGAATTGGTAAGTATACCACATCTTATAATATACTTTTTACTTATTAAATACACTGTATAATAATTATTTTTATTATTATGGAAACATTTTTTATGTAATAATTTTTAATGGAAAACGAACATAAAAATAAAAAATAGTTATTAATTCTCATAACCAAATTTGTCCGTTAGATCGTGTAGAGACTCGTATCACGGCTCACCTTCGTGACCAACTCGGAACCGCCAAGAACGCCAACGAGATGTTCCGTATCTTCTCTCGATTCAATGCGTTGTTCGTGCGGCCGCACATCCGCGGTGCCATCCGCGAGTACCAGACGCAACTCATACAGCGAGTAAAAGATGATATTGAGGCTTTGCACGAGAAATTCAAGGTAATTTATGTTTATAATTTTAATTGCCACACACATTGTAAAGCCTATTCAGGAAAATAAAAATTTTTCTTTGAGGGTGTCACTTCCAGCTATAAATGGTAACGAAACAGTACAGTCACACCAACATGAAAAAATTACTTTTGTTGCCATTACAAAAATTCGTTCTCAGAACATCTACAATATAGGAAGAGTTGTTATTTTCATAGTGAGGCTTGTAACAATTCTAAAGTTGAATATTGTCAATGACAGTAGGATTGACGAAGATGTAACAAATATAAACAGTAATCAACACAACTATATAAATCATTGTTACAGCCCTTTATATTTCATTATGAAACGCGTCATTTGTCTCATCCGGTGTTCAACTGCATGTCACCTGAGTGCTCGAACGAGCCACATCTGTCGGAAGTAATAATAGACTCTAATATTTCCTCCACTCCATACATGTTCTTCCATGCCACATCTCCGTTCTGGGCTACACACATGCTTCTCTTATCGGAGACTTCACGATTATGATATGAATATTGACTCCCCTTATAAAACCACCGTTTAATTCTCAAACGCTGATTATACGCCAAACGTCGTCACAGGCTATGTGTATATCTGCTGACGGCTTTCTGTTCCAGCTGATAGCTTTTGGAAGTTATAAAGTTTTTTTTTTTTTTATATGAAACAATTTATATTTTTTGCAGGTTCAATATCCGCAGTCGAAATGCAGCCGCCTATCTCTAGTGCGCGACCTCCCACCTGTGGCCGGATCCATCATATGGGCAAAACAAATTGATCACCAACTTACGGCTTATTTGAAAAGAGTTGAAGATGTTCTAGGTAATATAAACTATTTTCTTTAAAATCATTAAATAAGTTTCTTTAAAAATTTGGATATGATGTTAAGCTAATTATTGATTGTTTATAAGTAGGATTATGTTTATATTTTTTTAAACGCTTATTATTATTTGTTAATAAATATTTTTATGCTAATTAATGTACAGGTAAAGGATGGGAGAATCACATTGAAGGCCAAAAACTAAAAGCTGATGGTGACAGTTTTCGTCTGAAACTAGATACTCAAGAAGTATTCGATGACTGGGCTCGCAAGGTCTGTCATTACATATAACTGATATTTAAACCATGTTTTGGTATTTCGAATTGAATTTTGAAGTATTCATAAGGTCCATAGTTAAATTAATATTTAAAACAAACTTTGAAACAAGCAATTTTAAAAAGAACTATTAATCACAGTTATATCTCTTTTTAGGTGCAGCAACGTAACTTGGGCGTATCTGGGCGGATCTTTGCCATAGAATCCGTGCGTGCTCGATCCAGCAAAACAGGCACTATACTGAAATTAAAAGTAAACTTCCTTCCCGAAATTATAACCCTGTACAAAGAAGTGCGCAATTTGAAAAATCTTGGATTCAGGTATTCTTTCTATATTCTCACAGGATAATCATAAAACAGATTTTAAAAAATACGAATCAAATCTTTTTTCACGAAAGATGTATTAGAAAGAATTTTTGAAACATATCCATATCGTGAATTAGATAAAAAAAATCAATTTTTGTTAAAATAATTTCATAATCAATAAATTAACACTGTTTAAAAATATATTTTAGGGTACCACTAGCAATAGTGAATAAAGCACACCAGGCCAATCAACTGTATCCGTTTGCGATCTCTCTTATTGAAAGTGTACGCACTTACGAGCGAACTTTAGAGAAGGTATGTACTGTTGGCTTTTTAGTCTCATTTTTACTGACAAGCATTGTTAACTCACAGTGTTCGAGCACCAATAGACACTAAAATATATTGGCACATAAAAAGAGATCACTTAATTCTAACATTATTAACAAAATACACAAACTAAAGTTCTATGTGTGAGATCACTAACACATGCATTTTTATTTATGCAGCTAAATAATAGGAATCATACAAAGGTAGATCAACTATAATGCTGCATGATTCCGATACGCGCTTTACGATTTTTATTTCAATAGCATATTGTCATCTTATATATTATTATTAATTAAAACTATACAAAAACAAAAAAAAATGTACTTTATTTATATCTATATTCACTAAAATTATTCTGCAACTATTGTAAAAACCACTTGTACATATTTTTTTGCACATTTTTTTTTTCAAGATGTTCTATACTCGCTTTATAATTATTATGTATGAAATAATTGCTGCTTTGATACATAAATTAACATAATTCATCCAATTGTATTAAAAAGTCGTCATCATAATTTAAATTATGAATAAATTTTATGATGCATGTGAAGTGATATGAATATTTATTTCATATAATTTCAATTTAAAACTTGTTTCAAAAAATATATAAAAATATTTAGTACCTTTTATTTTACTGATGTAGAAATATGTAGTTTTTTTTTTTTTTTTACAAGAAAAATTATATGCAACCAACTTAGCAATAAATTAAAGAGAGGTATTAATAGCCATTTGGGTTACAATATGAAACATGTATATATATTCCCCTTTAGTGTACATCCATCTATATAATCTGTCACCTTTTTATAATTATTATGTCATATGCTTACACTCATTGTTGTATTTATATAATTATTATGTATATAAATTATTATACAGTTAAACATTAACAAACACACTTTTTAGATCCGCGATAAGGCATCGATCATCCCTTTAGTTGCTGGGCTTCGGCGCGACGTACTGAACCAAGTGTCGGAGGGCATGGCGCTTGTATGGGAGTCCTATAAGTTGGACCCCTATGTTCAGAGACTCAGCGAAGTTGTGCTGCTTTTCCAAGAAAAGGTACACTAGAAGAATTTCCAATTCTACCTTGTGTTACTAAAATTGTTCTCTACCTAGTTGTCTTTATACAAAATTACACAGGTTTAATTAATATCAGAGTAGACTATTTTATTATTACGCATCTCCTTTATCAATATATATATAAAAATGAAGTTAGTAATGAAGTATTTTGTTTTTATTAAATTTTAATGTAAAGCAATAATATTGGTGTTATTTATGCAGTTCTGGGAGCCAGTAATAATTAGGGATGAAAAAAAGACATATATTTATTACATTAGGTGGAGGACCTTCTGGCAGTAGAGGAACAGATCTCAGTAGATGCGCGGTCTCTGGAGACGTGCCCGTACTCAGCACAAAGTCTGGCCGACATCCTCAGCCGTCTACAGCGAGCTGTCGATGACCTTTCGCTGCGGCAGTACAGCAACCTGCATCTGTGGGTGCAACGCCTCGACGAAGAAGTTAGTAATCACAGATAATATAATACTATACTATAACATATAATAGTCAACTATCTACTATCGTCAACTTAAATATTTTTATCTGTAGATTATAAATCCAAAATTAAAAATTATTTCATGTAAAAAAACAGCTAATCACATAAAATCTATTTTTTGATATTTTGACTCGAGTCTAAAAATTTTAAAAAGTTTTCAATGTAATTTCTAAGTGATAATTATAACATTCAATTCTTGATATCAACAACTCACGTTGATAAATTATACTTTCAATTTCCAAGCTCAAATTATTATGAAGTATCTTAATATATATTCACATAGGTCGAAAAGAGCCTCGCTGCTCGCCTGCAAGCTGGAGTGGAAGCCTGGACCGCCGCATTGTTAGGCAAAAGTAACGAAATGGATCTCTCAATGGATACATACTCGCCCGCTGAACCCACTCACAAGCCAGGTGGTGAACCACAGGTAATTAACTTGAACTCATTTCAATCTATCGATATTCAAAATTTTTATTCTGAATAGAACAATTTTTTTCAATCAGACTACACATCTTGACAAACATTTAATCTAACAGAAATATTTCATTGTTACTGTTGTTGAACTTTAATTTCTTTTTTCTTTATTTCCTTTTTTCTACATCCTGTTTATTATGTTTAATTATAACTTAATATTGTTAATTGTGCATGTACAAATACATAGTATGTACAAGTTCTTGTATGTTGGAAGGAACTGGCTTACAAAACACAGGTTACCTTAATTTGTAAGCCAGGACAAAAAATATGTAACAGTCCAACCCTGTATTTGTTAACAAATATTTATTTGTATTAGTAGTCCAGCAATAAAAGCGTAATAAACAGAAATACTTATCTTCAAATTAATGTATTACTAAAAATATTATTACTCACAATCATTCTATACAGATTGCTCGCGTAGTGCACGAGGTTCGTATAACAAACCAACAAATGTACCTGTTCCCCTCACTGGAGGAGGCCCGCTTCCAACTCATGCGACAAATGTTCGCGTGGCAGGCAGTTGTCACTAGCCAACATCGTCTCCAAAGCACCAGGTATCATTTTATTAATATATTTTAATATAAAAATTATGTCGTATTGATACTTTAAGGAACGAATAATTCAAACTATAATAATTTATGTTAATTGTAGGAAAATAATAAACAATGGCTTCTCTATGCACTAAATAAAAAATATACAAATGAAATCACATTATATTATCAATGTATCTTTTGATAAAAAAATCTTTTTGCGATAGGATTTGTCAACTACAATATAAATTGAGGATTATTATAAAAATTCACTTAGAATTTGTTTCTTCGTTATGGATATAATTTATTTTAATCAAAATTTTCATTTCATGCTAATACATAATTTTAAAGTCACACATATCTGCAATAGTCCTTACATCTATAATCACAATAACATTTATACACATATTATTACAGTCTTCTGAGATATAAATTCTTACTGTGTTTGGCAGCCCAATAAACTTCATAATTAAACTAGAATTCCTACTGAAATCTAATTCATAATTATAAACTTTAATGTTTTGTTTAAAGGTATCAAGTGGGCGTGGCACGTGCGCAAACAGCTACATATAGAAATCTGCTGACTAAACTCCCTGGAGGTTCATCGCCGCTCGAAAACGCATACGACGCCATCGAACAAAAAATTTCACAAGTTCGTGAATATGTAGACGAGTGGCTACGGTATGTATTCTTAATTATATATTTCTTCAGTTTTATTTAAGGCCAAATTCGATAATATATTTTGTTTATTTTTAAATAGATACCAAGCTCTATGGGATCTTCAACCAGAAAGCTTATATGGTCGCCTCGGAGAAGACATTACCTTATGGATAAAGTGTCTGAATGATATCAAGTTAGTAACATTAAATAATTCTTGTTCTTTCATTCAAAATGTTATGTTTAGATGCACTAATGTATTGATAATAATCAATACAAATACTGTTGTTATTTTTATACGAGATTACAATCCTCATCATGTATTCTATAATGATAATGTTATTTATTCACAAACAAAACAAAAAATAACAATTATTTAATAACATTAAATTTCTAAAATTTGTAACCCTTTGAAAACTAAAGATAAAACTTTTGATCAAGATTACATAGATTTGTAATCTATTAATAGCACACAAATTATCATAAAGGATCATCATTTAATTAAAATTTGTCAAGCTACTATAACTGCAAATTGAGCTAAAGATCCACATACACACACCCAAACTAAAAAAAACTTTTTTCTTCAAAATAGTCAAGTTAAAAATATGTGCAATACTTGTTCAGGAAATCTCGCACGACATTCGACACGTCGGACACGCGACGTGAATATGGGCCCGTGGTGATCGACTTCGCCCGTGTCCAGAGCAAGGTGGCGCTCAAGTACGATGCCTGGCACAAGGAGGTTCTTGGCAAGTTCGGCGCACTGCTCGGCGGGGAGATGGTCACCTTCCACTCGCAGCTCGCCAAGTCGCGTAACCAGCTCGAGCAGCAGACTATCGGTCAGTCTACATTCTCTTATGCACTTCGTAACTTAGATGGCTAATACATATACATATTTGATTCGTAATTGATGAGACACAAAAACTACTGACGAATTGAAGACTTTCACTGTTTGAAATCTCTTATAAATTGATCTTAGCCTATTAAGAGATTCAGCATAATTATGTAATAATTATTTGTATCTATTCTTTCTGGAACTAATATCCAAATATAAAAAAAATGTGAGTTAATGTATATCATAGATGAATTTAATAATAAAAGTTATCAGCACTTAGTTCCTTTTCCTAATATTAATACATATTAAACTTGATATTCTTCTACAATTTCGTCCTCAGAAGCGGCATCGACCAGTGACGCTGTATCTCTAATCACTTACGTACAGCAACTAAAAAGAGAAGTATTAGCATGGGAGAAGCAAGTTGACATATACAGGGAAGCCCAACGTATTTTGGAAAGGCAGAGGTAAAGGAAACTGGCTTATCAATATTTTCTCGCATAATTTGTAAATAACCCCATAACAATAGGACAATTTATATTTAACATTCCATGATTTTCACGATATTTGTGTCTAATTTATAAAATTGCATATTTGTGGTATAAACTATATTAATATTCTACATAATTTTGTAGATTCCAGTTCCCGGCACAATGGCTTCATGTTGACAACATTGAAGGTGAATGGAGCGCTTTCAATGAAATTATGCGCAGAAAAGATTCGTCCATTCAAACCCAGGTGAATTTAATTTCTGTTACTGTAATACCTACCTTCATAAACAATTAATCTATATTAGTTTATATTTGTACTTATGTACGTAAAGATTTCGTATTATATTTTAGGTTTATTACTTCCTAAATTAATACACAATATTTCAATGTACATTGCACTGATGGTTATCGTAAGATATTTTATAACATAAATTTAAAAAACTTTAGGTTGCATCCCTTCAACAAAAGATCGTAGCCGAAGACAAAGCAGTTGAAGCTCGTACTTTAGAGTTCCTCACTGAATGGGAACGCAGTAAGCCTACTGACGGCTCAACCAGGCCAGAGGATGCTCTTGCTAGGCTCCAGGCAATGGAAACCAGGTATACCAGACTGAAAGACGAGAGGGACAATGTTGCAAAGGCTAAGGAAGCTCTTGAACTACATGACACAGGTTAGTTTTGGTATTCTCAAACTGTGTAAAATTGTTCAAATTTTATGTGTTAATAATCTACATTAAATTTAATAAAAATTGTCAAACCTATTATTTATTATAACAAATTGTTGGTATAAAACTTTCATTGCATGAACCCGACTTACTCTTTACAATTTACTAGTCAAAGTTACCAGTGTACAACAAAATTTAAAATATATATTCATATTTGTTGTTACAGGTAGCTCAGTTAACAATGAACGCATGACTGTTGCTTTGGAAGAACTGCAAGACTTGCGTGGTGTGTGGTCCTCGCTTAGTAAAATATGGACCCAAATAGATGATATCCGCGAAAAGCCTTGGCTGTCCGTACAGCCTAGGAAGCTCAGGCAACAACTAGAAGCGATGTTAAACGAACTCAAAGAGCTACCGGCTCGACTCCGAATGTACGACAGCTATGAATATGTGCGGAAATTGCTGCAGTCTTACACAAAGGTATAATTTATTGTTATTCTGTAAAGCTGTTCACATTTTCAGTTCATTGATTTATATTTATAGAGATAAACACTTTATTACACTAAATAATTTATTATTTATTTTTTTTTTTTTGCAATATTTTTTTTAATTAATAATATCATTTCACATACAATATCTTTTGGACTAATCAAATTTGTTGTCACTAATATTTGCCTACACAGCTGATTTGTATTGCTTGTTTGAAAAAAATGTTTTAAGTTTATTAATAGCTTTTATTCATGAGAAACACAAAATTTCTGATTATCGTATTCCTTTTGCTGCACTCTAATATAATACCTCTAAGGTCTGCCACATTTTATTCTAAAAGCTCCTGTTCTGAGCTACCTAAAAGTGTCTCAAACTAGCTCCTTTTAAGTGTCTAGGTGATCATGCTATCGCTTGTAGGGCTGACATTAATGACACTATCTGTAAGCATCCACGGGATGGGTTACTTAAATATCTTACACCCTGAAAATAAAAATTGACATTATCCAGGTGAACATGCTAATAGTGGAACTGAAGTCAGACGCGCTTAAGGAGCGTCATTGGCGGCAACTGTGTCGCGCGCTCAAGGTGGAATGGTCGCTGTCCGAACTGACCTTAGGTCAGGTCTGGGACGCTGACCTACTGCACAATGAGCACACTGTCAAGGATGTGGTCTCTGTCGCACAAGGTGAAATGGCATTAGAGGAGTTCTTGAAACAGGTACAGACCTATATTAATTTATACCACTTTCAAAAGGAACAATTTCTTTACTTAAATTTAATTTCTTTTATGTGTATGACACATTATATCTTAATCAATTCAATTCATGTCTAGCTTTTTTTTTAATCAAAGAAGTATATTATTCCATCTGTATTGGTCATGAAAAAATTCTGTTGCTGTTTTTAATAACAAAGTTATATGGTTAATTTAGTTAATTATATTAGAGAAGAGCATAATACAAATTTTAACAAGTAAAATTTTTGTCTAAGGATTAATATATAAGAAGGGTTGCAACGAAATAGTTAACAAAGATAGTTAAGCTATTAAAACTAGTTTAGTATTTTTATTGCAATGATATTCAAAGCTCTACTTGAACAATAATTGTAGGTGCGCGAATCGTGGCAAAGCTACGAGTTGGACCTTATCAACTACCAGAACAAGTGCAAGATTATCCGTGGCTGGGATGATCTTTTCAACAAAGTCAAAGAGCACATCAACAGCGTGGCTGCTATGAAACTCTCGCCATATTATAAGGTATTGTATATTTATGGATTTTATAATTATTATACTTCACAACTGGACTGTACGTTCATCTAAAAAATTAATGGGAAATTAAAATTTCTAACAATATTTATCAATGTCTTCTCTATAGGTGTTTGAAGAGGAGGCACTGACATGGGAAGAAAAATTGAATCGCATCAATGCATTGTTTGATGTATGGATTGACGTTCAACGACGATGGGTCTATCTAGAAGGTATCTTCAGTGGATCGGCTGACATCAAAACTCTCTTACCTGTTGAGACAAGCCGCTTCCAAAGCATCAGGTAATATTTATTTATTTATTTATTTTTTATTGCACAATAAAACTTTGTACAAGTGGCGAGCTTAATGCCATATGACATTCTCTACCAGCTAACCATTAGGTAAAAACAGAAAACGATAACGTCATTATATTCAACAACTATAGCATACATTAGAATAGAATATTGTTATAACTGTATCCTTAAATGCTCTATATATAATTAAATTCTCCTTTTTTATTTGCAACTAAATATTTAATTATTGTGCCTTTTGTGATTTACAGTTCTTTTTTATCTGGTTTTAGTGCAAGTTGTAGTTATTTCAATAATCATTCCTTTTGCTTTCAAAGTTTGTCGGGATAATTATTGCTCAAACAGATTTTAATGACAATACTCAAATGTGGATATTTTTTTATCCTAATTGAATATAAAAAGTACCGCCCACACCCACCATCACCACCATTCAACCTACAGGTTGCATCTAATTATTAAATAAATGTATCTCATTTTCTTAGCTCTGAATTCCTGGGACTAATGAAGAAAGTTAGTAAATCTCCGATGGTTATGGACGTACTGAATATCCCGGGCGTACAGCGGTCCCTGGAACGACTGGCTGACTTACTTGGCAAAATACAGAAGGCGCTCGGTGAATACCTTGAACGGGAAAGGAGCAGTTTTCCCAGGTATAAATAATACAATTTTCTAGTTTCATTATTGTATTAACAATAAATGCATAATCTTTACAATTCATTGTTTATATCACTGATAATTTGTTTTCTATAAAATATACCATAGATTTATAATTTTACTATATATACATAATCTGTATGTCTTAATTATAATTAAGTTTCCAGTTTAAACTTGTAACTATCAGGTGTTTATTAGAAAAATCATTAAAAATTTAACTATTTACAATTCAACAGATTCTACTTCGTCGGAGATGAGGATCTGCTGGAAATTATTGGTAACAGCAAAAATATTGCTCGCCTTCAGAAACACTTCAAGAAAATGTTTGCAGGCGTCGCTGCTATTATACTGAACGAAGATAACACAATCATTAACGGCATTGCTTCTCGTGAAGGCGAAGAGGTGTGTGAAAATTAATGTTTCTAATATTGCTCATATGTTTAAATAATAGAAATGGTAAAAAACCTGATATCTAATCGATTTGGTATAAGTACATCTAAGCGGGTTCAAGGCAGCTATTTTATATTCATATATTTCTAAGAATTTTCTATTCTCCAAGTATAATATTACGCGCCTAGTATGATACCTGTCCAAGTATTCTGACAACATAAATATATCTAATATCGTTATACTATATTTATGCCTAATGGTCATGTTTATACTTTCTTTTAGGTATACTTCTTGTCCCCTGTTTCGACCATAGAGAATCCCAAAATCAACTCATGGTTGTCTATGGTGGAACGTGAAATGCGCATGACACTCGCGTGCCGACTTAAAGACGCTGTCGCCGACGTCAAGCAGTTCAAAGATGGAAATGTAGACCCGCAAAAGTTTATAGATTGGTGTGACAAATATCAAGTAAGTTTAAATAATCTATACTAAATACTCATTAAAATATATTTGCATAGCTTAATAGTTGATTAGTAATTAATTCATAGAACTACATTTACTTTTTTTTTTAATTAGGCCCAAATTGTGGTTTTGGCTGCCCAAATATTGTGGTCAGAAGATGTAGAAGCCGCGCTTGCTAGTGGCGGCGGGGACGGTTTAAAACGGGTACTCGCTCATGTCGAGAACATGTTGAACATCTTAGCCGATTCCGTACTGCAAGAACAACCGCCGCTAAGAAGAAGGAAGCTTGAACACTTGGTTTGTATTATAGTTTTATTTCTATTGTTAATTCTTTTAAGTGTAAAATTAATCAATGCAGACGATTATGTAGTATCTTTGTATATATTTTGATATTTATAAAATAATATATAAGAAAAATAATCCTGTATTGAAAACGCAATGAATGGCAATAGATATGTAGTACAGTCAAGTTGACATGAGAAAAAATTATCATTGCTGCCAATAAAAGAAATTAAGTGTAATAATATCCGTAATACAGCAAATATGCTAGATAACTTACTAACATAGCAACTATTTTGATCTAGTGAACATTTCACATATGAAATGTTTCTCTAATTTTTCTTCCACATTGATCCTTAACAATTTTATACTTGCTATCGTGTTGTTGATTGCACTAAGAATAAAGCAAATATTGTACTATCAAATTCTATCATTATAGTCTATGTGAATGTTGAAGTCACATTATAATGAAATTGCCTGTTTAAATGTTCGTCCAACGTAGATAAACGAGTTTGTGCACAAGCGCACAGTGACACGTCGCCTGATCGCGTCCGATGTGAATAGTCCTCGCTCCTTCGAATGGCTCTGCGAGATGCGCTTTTACTTCGACCCTAGGAACAGTGAAGTGAGTCACATTACCATTCTCATAAAATTAAAATATGTATTATTATTAATGTTTACACAGTACATATTTTGATTTCTTATGAAATTTATGTACTTTTACTTTAGCACATAAAACCTAATTTGAAAATTATTAGTAAATTTATTGTTATTTAACTATTAGTTTATTGTGGAAGTCATTGTTTATAGTGTTATGTAACGTAAATTAATTATCGGTTAATATTATTAATGGTTGACTGGTAGAGAACACCGTCCAATGTTAAGTTCGCCAAATGTACATAGAATTTTACTGTGCATTAAAGTTTAAATAAATAAATATTATTAAAATATTTGTAATCATAAACAGGTACTGCAACAGCTGACTATCCACATGGCGAACGCCAAATTCCTATACGGCTTCGAATACTTGGGCGTGCAAGACCGGCTCGTACAGACACCCCTCACGGACCGCTGCTATCTCACTATGACGCAGGCTCTAGAAGCTAGACTCGGAGGATCTCCATTTGGTATGTAATTACATTTAATTTAATTTTTTAATTAATGTATTCATCGGAATCAATTCTTGAGTGATAACCATATATTTAGCAATGTTTATCATGATAGTAAAATAAATGCCATATTTTACGAATGTTATATGGAAAAGCCTAGAGTAGAGAAACTGATAAATTATATTTGTGAAGATAGCTGTATTCCAATATACTGGATTAATTATTTTTTGTTGTATATTCGACTTATGGTCTTAAACTTATTATTAAAAGAATACAATTTGACAAATATATCATTCTATAAAAGTCTTATAAATAATTTATACAAAGTATTCTATCGTTATTGTATCCTCCAATTTAATGTAGAATGAGATTATTTCATAATTTATTTCTGTTAGTCAAGGTCATAACTTGAAAAAATAAAACCTAAGGATTTCCAAATTCCACTAACCGTCATCTTAAAAATAAACAATATTAAATAATTTATGTGACATTATTATTTCTATCATAGGTCCTGCCGGTACCGGTAAAACGGAATCGGTGAAAGCTCTAGGCAATCAGCTCGGTCGTTTCGTGTTGGTGTTCAATTGTGACGAAACATTCGACTTCCAGGCCATGGGCCGTATCTTTGTTGGTCTTTGTCAGGTTTGTATATATTGTTATTTTTCAGGTTAGGTTTGTGAATACAAACCACTTTATACAAAGAGATACATTTCATAAATTTACTTTTTAATAAATTCACTAAGTACACATATTGAATAATATCACGTTTAAGATGATATCTACGCTAATTCTAGATACACACTAGCCCTCTTATTCATAAAAATTAAGACCTTCTACAAACCTATTTTAAATATTTTAGTTTTTTGTCACTGTCATGCAAATTGACAATTTACCATGATAGAAAAAGACAAAACACTTCAATGTCTAAAATAAGTTTGAGATATTTGATGTTTTTATTAATAAGAGGATGTGTCCATGCATACATAAATTTCTAAAATTCTATCTGTTTTTTAAGTGATTGGTCCAATTTACCTCTTTCATTTGATTTTTTTTTATCTTCACATTACTGGCTGTAATTTTATTATATATGGATTAACTTTCATTAGGTGGGTGCATGGGGTTGTTTTGATGAGTTCAATCGTCTTGATGAAAGAATGTTGTCGGCAGTATCACAACAAGTGCAGACTATTCAAGAGGCTCTCAAGAGCCACCAGGAAGGCGACAACACGGGTAAAAAAATATTTATATATTAAATCCCCTTAATTACTAATAAAGACAACAACAAAGGAAATTGTTAAAATAATAACAAATATAGTTGCTTTTGTTGCCTCTCTTATTTCATAAAATAAAAAAAAACATTTTTCAAGTTAAACTCAATCTTTCTGTTCTTTTTATTTAACTAATATATTCTATAATTTTTCGTAATTTGTAAATTCTAATATTAAAAACTTTGATTTAAGGCAAATCCATCACAGTAGAGTTGGTTGGTAAACAAGTCCGAGTGAGTCAAGATATGGCAATCTTCATAACAATGAACCCTGGTTATGCGGGCCGCTCCAACTTACCAGATAACTTAAAGAAGCTGTTCAGAAGTTTAGCCATGACTACCCCAGATAGACAACTCATTGCTGAAGTGATGCTCTTCAGTCAAGGATTTAGGACTGCAGAGAAATTGGCCTGTAAAATCGTGCCATTCTTCAAGTGAGTATGAGTATTTTAATATAGTTGTATGGATGAAGCAAAATAAAATAGCCAAATCTTTTTTCTGCAATCCCCATAAAGGACCTGGCGTGGAGACTTGTTTTTATTATAATCACTACGCGTATTAATTTTCCAGAATTATAATTTTTGTTTATATATTTTAATTTTAATGCCATACAAATAAATTTTATATCCATTAATTTGCAACTTTCGTATTTTACGCATAATATTATTTCTCTGTTTTAACAAAACGTCTGTTTTTGTTAAAAAAATTTAATATATTTTTTTATTATAGACTTTGCGACGAACAACTATCAAACCAGTCTCATTACGACTTTGGTTTGCGTGCACTTAAATCTGTGCTTGTCTCCGCGGGTAACGTGAAACGAGACCGCATACAAAAAATTAAGGTAATAATTATTTTAATATTAGACTTGGAACAATTTTATTGAAACATTACTAATTATTATGATATAGACAATATCATTATGGTATCTACCGCTCTAATGTCGCCACCATTGTGCGTTTGTAACAATTAAAGGCATTTTAAAATTAAATAAAATTAAATCTTTTAAATTAAGGTTTTCATTGAAAAGACAAAAATTGATATCTAAATAGCTGAAATAGGTTGATTAGATGTTTAACTTTTTTATTTTATGATGAATTATATATATTTATATTTGTAGGAAAATCTTATTGAACGTGGCAACGAAGTGCCAGACGAAGCATCTATAGCCGAGTCCCTGCCTGAACAAGATATCCTGATACAATCGGTGTGCGAGACAATGGTGCCCAAACTGGTCGCCGAAGATATACCGCTACTGTTCTCGTTGCTCAACGACGTGTTCCCCAATGTCGGATATACACGAGCTGAGATGACGGGTATGTTCATACATCATATTAGATACTAACTTTTTGTCCGCTACTTTGTACGCGTGAATTTTGGAAGTAGGAAAACCGATTAAATAGACTGCTTCTAAATGATTTCTTACGATAAAACATGCTCTAGGTTTTAAGCTAGATATTTAGGAATAGAACTGTAAAAACTGAATCCGATTCTTTATTTATCCAATTATTTTATTGGTGTAATAGTTTTTACATTATGCCGGAACAATCGTATAAACAGAGAAAATTGCTAAAAATTCTTATTTTAGCGTTTACATTACATTATCGTTATTTAGCAATAAGACCGCCCATTGTTGCCTCTTTATCTTGCTTTTATGTAATTAAGTTTTGTATTTCTTTTTTTTTGTGCACATATTGTTAATCTTTATAACCTGTATAATTCTTTGAAAGGATCAATAAAGAGTTCTTATTCTATCATTCTTATTACATTTTTATAAATATCACCCATAATCAGATATCATATAGTTACATTTTTATTATATTAGTAAGATATATGCTGGATAAAGCTTTATCTAGCATATAAGCAGCTTATTTAAAACTCAAATATACAAAATTACTCATGGACTTTCCCAAAAATAAACCTTTTTGAAATTCAAAACCACCCATTACTTAATATAATGAAATGAATAAGTTTATTTCCGCAGTAGTTGCATTTGAAATTACGTAATACAGCCTTATAACTCAAATAAAACTAAACTATTTTTTATTCATTCATTCAAGAATGCAGCTCTTAAATAGGAAATGAAAAATAAAATGAAACAACTGAGACAATGTTATGCAACATAAGCTAGCAGTAATATTGTACTTTATATTTCAGGTCTTAAAAATGAAATCCGCGCTGTTTGCGCTGAAGAATTCCTCGTGTGTGGAGAAGGCGATGAACAAGGCTCCACTTGGATGGAGAAGGTATGTCGCATACATTACCTATACATTAGTACATAAATGTTAGTTTATTACTTTTGTTTTATTCGAAGTGTAATCATTCAAACTAAGACCATTATCATAGAAATATACCAAGTATCAAAAAATACAACTAATCACCTTCATTGATGATGTTCCCATAATTATGCACAGTTTTCCGATACTAAAGTTTAATGCACATTGTTTTAGAGATTTTCATTATGATCATAAAACTATTAATCCATTATTAACAAAAGGTGACGGTATATTATTTAAAATTAAATATACAAAATAAAATTAACATATTATTATACGCAACGAGGAAAAGGAGCAATAACAATTTCATATTAATATCATGTAATATGACATAATATCATAACTGTTTAACATATACGCTTATTCATTATAATATAGTATGGGGGTTGTGGTTTACATGTTTATATAAGCCATGTCATTGTTAAAGTAATACACGACTAAATTACATCGAATTAATAGATGTAACTAAAAACTTATTAATAATTTAATACTTAAAATTGAATATGTTGTTACTTATAAATCACAATCCCAATACAAAGAACCGATACCATATGGTAGTACGTGAATGCATACGTTTCATGCTAACCCGCTAACGGCACGTAGAGGCTGGGCGCTGCGTCTCGCGCCCAATACAGCACCTGGATCGACAAGGTGAGTGCAGGTCGCCGCCTCTGTGGCCTCACCGCTCTGTGTTCTGTGCTATTTCACAACTAGACATCCTGCCGTGTGGAATGAATTCTCTTTATTACCATATTATAATGTCGTAACGTGTCATCGTACGTAACTTTGCTACGACGTTGAAGACGAAGTCATTTCACATATCAGTTACCTAATAATTTATCGACGACTCTTTAAAAATTATCTCAAGAGTCCTTTACTGTTTTAATTAACTGTATCTATATTAGACTTGGTGCCGTATCAACCACATTATGTTCATTTTCCACTAAATCACATGTTCAATGTCACCTGCCTTCGTGTTTATTCTTGTCACTTCTGTGTCTTTCCAATGTTACATAAAAATTTCTTATATTTTTTATGCATATATATTATTTTCGATTCAATGATACTTCGGGAAGGGTATTTGTAATTTTATACTATTATTTAAAGTAATATATCCTTTTTTTAATTTTTTAAGATTTTATTAACAGTAACTACAAATAGTTCTGATATGACCATCTATCATCATCAATGTATTGGATTCTCATAATATCTCGCGGAATAAACTGTATACAGTAAACATGCTAATTAATGGTATTTATATTAATTATTTTGCAATTTTGCTACTTATTATGCACTATTGCAATCGCCTTTTTATTGTTTTCGACTTTTTAATAAATTGAATTCTATAATATATTATTTTCCTTGTTTTTTTTTTTATTAAAAATTATTATATAAATGCTCTTTCTGTCCCATTGAATAATTTTGGCATGTCAACTTGATAAATAAACTGAGATTCTCCAAAAGTTATTGTACTTTTACAAATTATGTTACGACAATAATAAACTCACAAAAAATATATATATAAAATTAAAAATACTACACTATACTAATGCATAAAATTCACGTGTAGGTACTCCAGTTGTACCAGATATGCAAATTGAACCATGGCCTGATGATGGTAGGCCCGTCTGGAAGTGGCAAATCTACTGCCTGGCGTGTACTGCTTAAAGCTTTGGAAAGGTAAGGTCTTGTATTGAAAAAAAAACTATGAAGTCGCATGAATTTTATAAAAAAATAATGGAACTGCAAGTAACCTCAAATGTTTTGAAATGTACATAATCATAAAAGTAATATAAAGTATTAAATTGTCTGTTACTAACGTTAATAGGCTTATGACCAGCAGTGGACAGTTAACTACTAATATATTAATAACTATAGATTTATAGATATATCAATATTATAATCTCTATATAATAAAAACTACATTAATTGTAAATGCGTGCTGTTTGTATAAATGAAATTGATAGCCAATATACATTCACAAAGATTTTAACACTAAATCTTCAGGATGAAAACAAAACAACTTTTACTATTTAAATAAAAAACAACAATATTATGGAATATTTAAATAATTAACAGGTTTGAAGGGGTAGAAGGCGTGGCACATGTGATTGACCCGAAAGCTATGTCAAAGGAGACATTATACGGTGTGCTCGACCCCAACACTCGCGAATGGACTGACGGTCTATTCACACATATACTCAGGTTAGTAGAATACTAAAATCAGAATAGGTTATTTCACTGTCCTTGTAGGTAATATGTGTAATATGCTCAAGGCTGTAGGCAACAATTTCCACTTTACTAGTTATTTTTTTTAATACAAAGTAAAACGTTACTTCAGTGACGCCCATTTACAATGGTTTTGCCACTGTCATGAACAAAGTTTTGTGAAAATTTTAAAAATTCCCTACAATATTCATAACATTGTTACGTCTTACATCTACTTGTTACATTATGTATATAGTATATTTAAAATTACAGCATTAAATAAAAGGAGATTGTTTACAAGTCATCCTAAAAAATAATTGTACTATTTTCTGAATTTTCGACTTTATTTGTCTGGACTTATTCAAATTAGATCTGAGACTACTTTTCATGATTGTGAAAAATGAATAGATTTTATTTGTACACCTACCAATTTAAAATAATGCATTTAATTACCAATTTTACGTCTCTGTCATACGTATTACAACCATGACTCACATTGTATTATTATAATAGGAAAATAATCGACAACGTTCGCGGTGAAATTAACAAGCGTCAATGGATCATCTTCGATGGCGATGTGGACCCGGAGTGGGTGGAGAACTTGAACTCAGTGCTCGATGACAACAAGCTACTCACGCTCCCCAATGGCGAGCGACTCTCGCTGCCACCCAACGTTAGGGTCATGTTTGAGGTAAATGACATTTCACAGACTATTACTAACTTTATATTCAAAAATATTCTTCATAGTTTAAAATATCGTTTCTCAACCGGGGGGGGTCGCATTTGTTATTAAAGGGATCGCAGTCTGTTGAAAAATCATTTGAGCTCGAAAGATTTTTTTTTTGGTCGTTAAAATATTGTTATAATTTTATACTAAGAGGATCGCAAAACTTTGCACGTAAAGTTTTGGCTTTTTCGTGTGTTACGACGTAAATGGTTGAGAAACAATGGTTTAGAGGATAAGTTTCATAAAATTCTTTCTTAGTGGTCATCCGAATTATATTAGAAACTTTTGAATAAAATTTCCTTATCCTAGACACACTGATTTAAACTATGAGCTTTTGATTTACTGGCAATGTCAGTGTAAGTAAGAATTTCAATAAATAAATATATATTTTAAAAATTAATATATCGGTTTTATGTGTAACAACGGCGACTAGGTAGTCGCTACACATATTAGTAGTATTAGTGTTCGACACAAAACACTAAAGTATCTGTACAACACCATAAATATTTATTTTTAATTTCAGGTGCAAGATCTGAAATATGCTACACTTGCAACAGTCTCGCGTTGCGGTATGGTGTGGTTCTCACAAGACGTGCTAACAACCGAAATGATCTTCGAAAACTATTTAATGAGGTACACGATAAAATTCAAATTAAATCTACAATTACTTTTTCATCTTCATACTTCTCAATATTACACTACTTAAAATATATTAAAGACATATATAGTCCTATTAATAGTTGATAATATAATAGTTTACTAATGTATAATTTTTTGCGTTCTACTACCGTATTTTAGATTGAAAAACATCCCTCTGGAAGATGGAGAAGAAGATTCGTTTAGCATCGTAATGGCCGCCCCGACTGCAGGTGGCGATCAAAATGCAACAGAAAGCATTCTTTCGCCGGCATTACAGGTACGGTATAAAATATTTGTTGAAAGTCAGTAAGACATCTATTAGTAAAATCCTGCTAAAATTTGATATAGATGTTGAAAATCACAAACATATAATCAATATTTTTGTTATATAGACTCAACGCGATGTAGCCATAATACTGCAGCCGTTGTTCTTCGGCGACGGCCTGGTAGTGAAATGTCTGGAGCATGCTGCCACGCTCGACCATATCATGGACTTCACGCGACACCGTGCGCTCTCGTCTCTACACTCAATGCTTAATCGCGGTGTCAGGTAACATTCTAAATTATTACTGAATGTAATCGCTTAAGCGATCCACCTGTCATAGTACTAATAGGGGCAACGAGGCAGTCAAACGGATAATTTAAATATTCATAATATTTCATCTTCATTCTGAGACACATTACCTCACGCAATGCTACTACTTTACGAAAGAAAACGTAAGGTGAATCACTATACTTCTTGCCGTTGTTATATCGTTGTAAGATATGCGTACTAATCTGTACAAGGAGCCACACAAATGTATACTACCTATCGAGCTAGCCTATATAGCTCAAATTATGCCTCTTTTTACACACAGTTCCTCTGAAAATCATTAAATATTAAATTCTTTAATAGTTTTAATTCAAGCTTTATATGTATTTCAGAAACATTCTCGCTTACAATCGTCAACACCCGGACTTTCCCATCACCAATGAGCAACTGGAGGCATATGTTCCTAAATGGCTTGTGTACTCCCTGCTGTGGTCATTTGCCGGTGATGCTAAACTCAAGGTTAAATTTCGAATCGTTTATTTTTTTTATATTAGCAATTAACAAATTTATTGCAACTTTACTGATATTCAAATGTTTTGTTTTAGGATCGTAACGAATTGGGTGACTTCATAAGATCGGCCAGCACCATGCCCTTACCTAACTGTGGACCCAACCAGCACATCATCGACTTCGAGGTATCGTTGATTTACTTTAAATTATATACTTTAGCTCTTTCTATAATCTATATTAAAGAACAACATTACTGATCACATTTTTTCACATACCATAAATGGAAAATAACTGTTCATATATTCTCGGTGTCAACGAAAATTCCCTTAGCTCTGCAACAATCCACCTAACGTTTAACGTTTTAAAACTTACTAAATTGATTGGACTAATCACACTCACACATATAATATCCCAATCGAAACTAAGTGCGGAAACCACTGAATAAACTAATTAACTATTGGTTCACATCAGGTGTCGATAACGGGCGAGTGGGTGGCGTGGTCGGCGAAGGTGCCGCAGATAGAGGTGGAAACACACAAGGTGGCGGCGCCGGACGTGGTAGTGCCCACGCTCGACACCGTCCGCCACGAGGCGCTGCTCTACACCTGGCTCGCGGAGCACAAGCCGCTCGGTATCTATGAACTGTATCTGTTATGCAGAGGATAGATAAAATATAGACAAATAATGAAATAATAATGATAATATTTTTTATTATTACAGGCTACAATGTCCTAATTTATTAGTATCATATATGTAGCCTGATGTTAGTACATCTTACAATAAAATGAATAAATAAAAAAAAAGAAATAATATACAAATTTGGTCGCCGCTGAATAATCCCATTTGAGATACCTCAACAGTGACCAATGTAAGGGCAATCCAACCTGCTTGCAAATAAATCTACTGATTCATCTAATATTCATGAAACTGATATTGCCGGAGTTATATATTGGTTGGATTATGAAAATATTTTTGTATCTTATGCAAAGAATGCACATAGAAAGTGTTGCCAAAACCTAAAATGGAATGAGAAATTAATTTTACAATTTCAATTTTGTACAATTTCTGGTTATGATTTAAAGCATCCACTAAGACAATGTGTTAGTACTTCCCCCTTGGATCTTATTCTTCTCTCATGGAAAAATTACTAACAAATTATAACAAACTATAAACTTAACTAGGTAGTTTGTAATAAGTAATTACATAAAAAATATTATATGTAGATAAATAATACATTATATAAGAAACTCACTGTGTTAATATCAATAATATAAATGTAAGTAGTAATTAAGTAAAAAATATTTAATGTACCAAAACTTAAATACATACATTTCATTGTATAGTGCTATGCGGCCCACCCGGATCTGGCAAAACTATGACTCTATTCTCGGCTCTCCGCGCGCTGCCCGATATGGAAGTGGTCGGTCTCAATTTCTCATCTGCCACCACTCCAGAGTTGCTTCTCAAGACCTTCGATCATTACTGCGAGTATAGGAAAACACCTAATGGAGTAGTGCTCGCACCTGTACAGGTACGAAGAAAAGTTAAAAAAATAACATTTCAAGAAATTACAAGTAGTAAATAATGTTTACCTATTTCTAAGTTTATACGGATAGAATGACTATAGTTTTATTGATTATTTTTATATATAACTACAGTGGAAATCACACTTAGCCTTCCTGAGTATATACAAAAATCACAGCCCATGAATGCTTAAAATATTAAAGATTCTGAAATCATAGCTGGTGGCTAACTAATGGTATTGGCAAATAATTATTTATTATAATAATATTTATTTGTAGCTTGGCAAATGGTTAGTGCTATTCTGTGACGAGATCAACTTACCAGACATGGATCAGTACGGCACGCAACGCGTCATATCCTTCCTACGACAACTGCTTGAACATAAAGGCTTCTATAGAGCGAGTGGTGAGTGCAATTCTAAAATTCTAAGAGTAACATTTATTTATTGGAATTTTAACTTCAAATATGGTTAAACATATTAATAATAATTTGCCATACTCATATATCATACGCTTTATGTACGAAGTTTATGCGCTTTTGTGAAGAGCACAGCTGGCTGTGCTCTGCACAAAAGCGCATTAACTTCCTGGTATCTTCACAATTATCATGGGGGGATTTCACTGTTCCGACGATTTATTAACATTAGGGTTTATATTTGTTTAAGGGGCAGTGCCCGTTATTATTTTTATCATTATTTTAAGGTTTTTCCTATCTAAATATAATAAACGTTTTGACAGAGTTTGAACGGATGTGTAATGCTATATTATTATTAGGTATACATAATTGTGACTATATTAATGCCAATCATACGCTATTTAAACATTTGGATGATTCTTTTCTTGCTTTTGAATGCCCTTTGTAACTGTCTATGAACCACGAGACAGAGGCGATTAGTAGGTCTGATCTCTTTTTACTTGAAAGCGTGTGATTTTCTACCTGAATCCTATCGATCTTGTGCCAAATCTTATTATTAACTTCAACATACTATGAGGAAGTGACCACTGTAACATCCACAGACCATTCGTGGGTTCACCTGGAGCGTATTCAGTTTGTGGGCGCCTGCAATCCGCCTACGGACCCGGGCCGTAAGCCGCTCTCACACCGTCTGCTGCGACACGTGCCCGTCATCTATGTCGACTACCCTGGGGAGACCTCACTCGAACAGGTAGACCCTCATTTACCCTATACTCGCACAAGATTCACTCTGAAGAAACAAATATCAAAAACTATCAAATTCAAATCTCCTTTTTGACATCGCCAAAGAAACGTACAGGTAATATATTTATAAATACATTCAAGTAATTATAAAGAAGTATGAAAGATTTCTTCAATACAACTTGTTATACAAAATCACTGCCGTTTTTTATAATTTTATATAATTTAAATTGGTTGATCAATAAATTGACATATGTATGTCCATTGGAATAGGCTGAAACAATAAATTCAAACAGCCCTATTTTTCTTTACATTCTTCTTCGTTGTACCGTCATGATCTCTATGATGGATGGGTCTTATCACCACATCTACATTATCAATCTATTCCTGCAAGCTTGCCAGTTACCGATGTCTTTTACAATAACTGCATAAATAATTTTAGATTTACGGCACTTTCACACGGGCGATGCTTCGCATGCAACCCGCGCTGCGAGGATACGCGGAGCCGCTGACGCAAGCGATGGTCAAGCTATACCTCGCGTCGCAGGAACGGTTTACACAAGACATGCAGCCACATTATGTGTATTCTCCCAGAGAGATGACACGATGGGTGCGCGGCATCTGCGAGGCTATCAGGTATGTGTTTATAATCCGCAATGTATTACTGCAAACTCTCAATAATGACAAAAGAATGTAATATGTAAAAATAGAGAATATAATAATACAATAACTACTAGAAGAACAAAGCACATATCCTTAATTCATAAAAAGTCAAACATTCAAGAGACCTCTTTTAAAAATGGATTTTTTTTAAATTTTGTACCTATTTTTTATTTTAAAACAAAAACAGAATACTAATAATTAAAATGTATGTATGCGTTTTTAATTTTATGTCTTTTTAAGTGTTATGGTCTAATTTATAATTACAATTGTAGGCCACTCGACAACTTGTCTGTTGAGGGCCTAGTGCGACTGTGGGCGCATGAAGCTCTGCGTCTCTTCCAAGACAGATTAGTCGAGGACTCAGAAAGACAGTGGACTGATGAGAACATCGACAACGTGGCCATGCGATTCTTCCCAGGTAAAATCTAAATAATTTGTTTTCCATTTAATTACCATTTGCTCCAAATTGAATCAAACAAGATAGCACCTTAGTTCTCGGAGCGGCAATACATAACGGTTGATATGGGCAACAAATATATTTGTGATATCCATGACGTTGTTTATGTCTGTTGGCAATGGTTACCACTTTACTCCCAGGAGACTTGCTTCATTTAATATAATTCACTGTTTGTGTTGTGACTTTTGATGAACTTTGTTATATCGGCTTTGATTTGCGTTTCTAAATAATAAAAATATATTAATAAATATATTGAGACAAAGTACAACTGTTTTAATTAACATTGTGGCTTTATTGAATAATCCTGTTATGCCTTTTTCTGTTATATATTTAAATGAATTAATTATATATTTAACAGCTCTAAAACTTTATTCTTCGTTAATAAACATTTAAACTATTATTTTTGTAGGAATCAATAGAGAGCAGGCGTTAGCCCGTCCGATTCTATACAGCAACTGGCTGAGCAAGGATTACGTCCCAGTACAAAGAGATCAACTCCGCGAATACGTCAAAGCTAGACTTAAGGTAATAATGAATAATTTTGTTTTTATTCTACTTAATAATAAAAAAAAATAGTGTCTTTCAGTCATAAATAGAAATCTATTTTATATTACTATATTTTACCCGCGATTTAGTCCGCGTACTTGGACTAAACAATATGTTTATTAACCACAATAAAAAGTAGCCTATATCCTTTTCATTCTTATATAATACATATATACCAAGTTTCATAGTGATTGGTTAAGTCCTTAAGATGCTATGAGGTAACAAGCAAAGTCACTTTCACATTTGTAATGTTAGTAAAGGTTCTAATAATAATTGTAATATGAAATATATCTGAAATAAAATTTATATTATTTACCTTATGTAGGTGTTCTATGAAGAAGAGCTGGACGTTCCACTGGTGTTATTCGACGAGGTGCTAGACCATGTACTCCGTATTGACCGTATCTTCAGACAGCCGCAAGGACATTTACTACTTATCGGTGTCTCCGGCGCGGGCAAGACGACCCTCAGTCGATTCGTCGCATGGATGAACGGGTTGAGCATATTCCAAATTAAGGTATTACATTCTTTTAGTTACTAGTCCCTATATATGATATATAAGGTATAGAGGAAACACCCCTAAAAATTGCCTGAAATTATCCAATTTATGTGGATTTTTTATTTCATTTTTGGATTTCATCTAAATTGTTTTTGTATAAAAATGTATTTGTACTTTCAATTTATTGTCGCCCTAAAGATATATTTTTTACTAATATGTAACTAAATGTTAGTAGTCTTGACTTCACATACACTTTAGAAGTGATGGGTTTTGCAAAATTTAACAATGGAAATTCTTAGATATATTCGAACACCTTTGTAACATGTAAATTGGTATCATAACGGCAATCATATTTAAAATATTCAAATTGATTAAAAATATTATTCTACATATTAATATGCCTGTATAAACATAGTTATTACTACTTCTTTACAAAGACATGATGTCAGGATTGGCGTCATAAGACACAATGATGTTGATAGACAATTCAAATTACATAATTATTTTTAAAAGTAAAAACTGATATCCAATATAAACTTAGTTTCCGAAACCAAAGATATTAACGAACATATCCATACAAAGGTACATAACAAGTATACGGGTGCGGACTTCGACGAGGACCTGCGATCGGTACTGCGGCGCGCCGGTTGCCGCGACGAAAAGCTCGCCTTCATACTTGACGAGTCCAACGTACTGGACAGCGGCTTCCTCGAACGCATGAACACACTGCTAGCTAACGGCGAGGTAATAAATACTAACATTTTATACTGTTTTTTTACAATAAAACAACCACGCATATGCTCCACTTCATGTTAAATGGATACACGTGGAATGATTGGTTTAGGCGAATGAACTTGGTGCTGATCGTTGTATCATGATAATCTTGAGTATATAGTGATTTCATTACCTTATACTTTTCAGCTTTACTTCTGCACTTGATATACATTTAGGAAGTAACTAATTACAAGAAGCTTTCTTTCTGCCAAAATAGAAGTCCACAGATACGAATTAACCTAAACACATCCAAGTTTTATTATTTTCGCCACTTTGCAGAATTTTTTATTTCATATATTAATAAAATACTCATAAAATATTCTATTATTTGTCAGGTACCTGGATTATTCGAGGGCGACGAGTTTGCCGCTTTAATGACACAGTGCAAGGAAGGTGCTCAAAGAGAGGGTTTGATGTTGGATTCCAACGACGAATTATATAAATGGTAAAATAAAATAACAATTTAAAATTTTCTGTAATAATATTTATTTCATGAATAATAATATATCTTAAAAAAATTGTATTTCTTCAGGTTCACTGGTCAAGTAATGCGTAATTTGCACGTAGTGTTTACTATGAATCCATCATCGGAGGGCTTGAAAGACCGCGCAGCTACTTCGCCCGCGCTTTTCAATCGTTGCGTTCTCAACTGGTTCGGAGATTGGAGCGATGGCGCCCTCTTCCAGGTTTGTTTTATATTTAACTTTATTAACCATTAAAAAATTTTAACCGCCTACTAGCAATTTAGATTCTATGTTCTGTCACACGCAATACTGTGATGGCGGTTCTTCTGACAAGAGCCCTCTATGTAAATACCCATAACTTGGCAAACTTTATTGTTGTTCTCTTGTGTTCGCTGATGCAACGACATCGTGTGAGCTCTAATATTTGTATGCATTAACAATGTTTCATATCAGGTGGGCAAAGAGTTTACTCGACGCATGGACCTGGATTCTTCGGACTACACGCCGCCCGATGATTTCCCGGCGGCTTGCGGCGAAGTGGGCGCGCGGCCTGGACAACGCGACGCCGTCGTGAACGCTTGCGTGTACGTGCATCAGACGCTGCACAGCGCCAACGCGCGTCTAGCCAAGCGAGCCAACCGCACTATGGCCATCACACCCAGGTACTAAGGATTTAAAGACCTTTTTTTTAATTTGGAGTTCTATTTAAACCTTTTCAGAGGTAGAACTTTTAGAATTTAGTAGGTTAGGTGATTGTCACTTGTCTCATTGTTCGGAACAAAGTCGTCGTCCGTTCTTACGGACTTATAAATTAATTTTATTTTATAGGCACTATCTCGACTTCATCCAGCAAATGGTTAAACTATATGCGGAGAAACGCGCCGATTTAGAGGAACAGCAGCTACACTTGAATGTCGGTCTGGGAAAAATCGCCGAAACCGTGGAACAGGTGGAGGAAATGCAAAAGAGTCTTGCTGTAAAATCTCAGGTAAAATATTTTTCATTCACATTTTAATAATTTTACTCATTTTCATCGTATTAATATTTATAACTTTGTAACTAGAAGATTTTCGTAAATGGAATTATTATTGCAATTTATTTAGATGAGAAATTCTTTATCTAAGTAAATTGTATTTTTAAGAATATAAAAATAAACCATAAAATTAAATTATTTTCCTTTATGTGACAATATGTTATTTAGTCACGACCTAGAATATGCCACCCCTTTCCCGTGGATATCATAAGAGGCAACTAAGAGAACTTAATGGTTGAGGAATGGCCAGCAGCATTTCTCTTAAAACATCACCAAAGCCTAACTGCGGTTGCCAACTGACTGCCAATTGTAGCAACTACTGGCAAAATACCTTTATAGGGGTGGCTTACATCAACAGTGGACTATTAACGCCATATATGATGATACTGATGTAATAATAATTTAATAATTACTTTTTCTTAAAATTTAAAGTTCTTTTTTAGGAACTACAAGCTAAGAATGAAGCTGCCAATGCCAAACTGCGCCAGATGGTGAAAGATCAGCAAGAAGCTGAGAAGAAGAAAGTTGAAAGTCAGGAAATTCAGGTGTGACTTCATCTCATCAGGAACTTATATGAAACCATATCAGAGATAATGTTATGTCTGAGATTATGTTATTTCACTTTACATTTTTATCCAGGTCGCTCTAGAGAAACAAACGAAAGAGATAGAAGCAAAACGCAGAGATGTGATGGCTGACCTCGCACAAGTGGAGCCAGCAGTCATTGAAGCGCAAAACGGTTTGGTTTTTTATTTAAAATTGTCTTGTTTGAAACTAATCATCGACTTTGGTTGAACCATGTCCTACATCATAATCAGTACTGGTTTACTTGAAGTCGTTTACATTTTTTTTTTTCATATGAAGCAGACAGTAGAAAATAGTAAATAGTTCTAACCATACATGTAAATTTAAGTTTCACACAGACGATTTGCTTATACTAGTAGTTTAGTATGTTTGCCTAGTCATGTAATATAGAAATACACCTATAAGTAGACATCCTAACATTAGATAAAATAATCACACCACAAAGATGCCTAGAGAATAATAATGTAAAAACTTATGAAATGTTTGTTAAATAGCGTTTATTAGTTTTATAATATGTAGTTGTAGTCAGAACATCAAGTAATACCCACGAAATTTTCGTAGTTGAACGAATTTTGAAATTATAACTATATACTTCATCCAATGCATGCTATAATTAATAAATAAATAAGTTGTTTGCATGCATGCATTGTAAATCGTATTTGGATTTAATAAATACGTAATATTTAAAAAAAAAAGAGAAAGTGCTATATCTTATTAATATAAGAATTTGTCCAATCCTCGTTATATCCCTGTAGCATAGCCATGTTATTATTAATAATAATAAATAATTTTTATTCAATTAAATTTAATAATAAACATTTTTGAATAGTAATTTTTTTTATAAACTACCGCCCAGTTCCGAATGCAATTTCAGCTAAGAAAAACGGGCAAGATACAGCTGTTGCTTATTTCAAATATAAATTTACAACAAAAGAATTATGAATGGATATAATGATTTTCACAAAATTCGTATTTATAATGAAAAAGAAAAAGCTATCAAGCTACAATCAATCACAGTATTCTTGACCCCAGACCAGTCCCTACTAGAAGCTTTATGAATTCTATTACTGAATATAAAGCTATCACTGACTAAACTGACTGCAGACAGACAGATACTCTAATCTAGTGGATTTATATAAAAACATTATAAAAAAAAAAGTGTTTTGCATTCATTTTCTAAAAGGTTATTAAATTTTTTTGTTAAATTTGCCATTAAAAAATGTCTTATATGGGTTAATGAGATATCATTAGAAATACTTAGTTCTGACTACAAGTACACATAGTATTAAACACGAAGACGCCACACAGCGGTGCGGTCGATCAAGAAGCAGCAGTTGGTGGAAGTGCGATCAATGGCGAATCCGCCGTCGGTCGTGAAAATGGCGCTCGAGTCCATCTGCACGCTGCTGGGAGAGAAGGGCGACACATGGAAGGGCATCCGATCTGTAGTCATGAAGGACAACTTCATATCAACTATTGTTAACTTCGAGACAGAAAACATCACGTTAGTTCACGTTCATTGCTTATTGACGATGGTGCGTCGTTTGTAACCTACCCTCGCATTTTAAACAAGTGGCAGACAAATTTGTATAATATAGATACGGTTACGCTACCACATGTATGAGATAGAACAAGACATTACGATGCATTATATCTTGTTCTATTTTATGCATGTGCTAATGTAAAAGTAACTACAAATCGATTCGTTTGCCATATGTATAGAGGGTTAGTTATGTAATCGTAATCAAATTTTGGATACTTTTATATTGTTTTTCAAAAGGAAAGGAAATTGAGTATGCGAAATTATGTAGTATTAAAAGTTAGTATTCATAACGACTTGCTATCCCTATGTTAACTGCTGTACACGAATTAAAAATGTATTTTGATTTTTGTATGAAAACATTTTAGATAGCAAAATAAACATAAGTGTAGTGTATATATTTATTGGCAAAAACATTTTACATTGTACACAAAAACATTCTCATGCATAGAATTTTGATTGAATAAATTTATTGTATTGCATAGTAGTTACACTTTTAACTAAATATTTCTACTGTTTTGCTCTTGGTTGTACGTTTAATATTATTTATAAATAGTCACATTTTCGGCTATTCATAAAAGCGCTAATTATAATGAACGGATAACATTAATGGAATCTTTGTATTGTTACATTTAATAATTTAATTTGTAAATAAGCTCGCTTGCATTATGTGACTGTTGTTATTAATATTATAAATTGTGACATAACGCTGTGATCACTGTATGTATTGTAAAATGGCATCTGTGTAAGGCACCCTAATAGTGAAGTAGTATTCGTGACTAACATTACTAAGCATCGTCGTGAACAGAAACAGATTAACAACCCTCAAGTCTTAACATTATAATATTGTTTTTAAAAATTCATTTGAACATTTGTCTTAAATAAAAATGGAACCGTGTATTTAAGTGGCGTCGGCTTTGCTGCGTTAGTCTTTTTTGTCAAATTGTTATTGGAATGTATCTTTCACTTCATTACATCGTTATATGTGCGTTTCATCCTATATATTTATTTCTAAACTTTAAAGCATATGCAGTATTGTCTACAATTTGATATACAGACAGACGAACGGAGCGAAGCCAAGCGATACTTATTACGGGACCATACATTCAACAGTGATCTAATTCAATGTTAATCGTACAATAATGCTAGCCGCATGGTCACAATTAGCTAAACGCCTTTTTTGTTTCTCTCTTTTTTTGTACTCTCTCGCTCTCGCTTCGTGCTGGTGACGGACTCGACGCCTGGACGCACCGGCGGCGACGAACTGTCATTTAAATATACAGCGGTGAAATCTATAAAGAAGCAGCACTTAGTGGAAGTACGATCTATGGGCAACCCACCGGCGATAGTGAAGGTCGCACTCGAGTCCATCTGCCTGCTACTCGGCGAGAACGCGACCGACTGGAAGGCGATCCGCGCGGTCATCATGCGAGAGAACTTCATCAACAGCATCGTCTCCAACTTCTCCACTGAGGACATAACGTGAGCACCTCTGCAGCTTGACCCCACCTTCCGCCCCCAACTTTAAAATTATAGCGGTGTTTGGTTATTTTTAAATATTGTGGTCAAGTCCTTTATCTTAAGTTTGGGCAGTGTTTAGTGCTTAAAGCATGCTTTTTGCACATTGTATAACAACTTTTTTTTTGCACACGTTTGTTGGAAGTGGCATGTTCGTGGTGACGGTTAACTAACTTCAATATCCTGCGATATATTCAGCTACACTATGTTGTCATGTTACGAATTATTCAGACACATTTACTTACATTATCGCTGGACTAATCAAATTTTACACGAATTATTCGTTTTGGTATAATGTTTATGAAGTCGATAATAAAATGAACGACGAACTATCAATACTTTACAATGGTTTCATGTTTCGGTGAATACAATATTGGAGTGATAATACATTGTTATTTCACATATATCAATACGTATAATATTTGGACGTCAAATTTAAAAGCATCGTTATAATCAAAATTTTTTGTTAGTGATTTGTAATAATAACAAAAAGAAAAATCACTACAACACATATAATACTTTGAAATCGCGATGTATTGCAATATACATTGTATTCCCGGAAGGTGCATGAATGTATTTGCCAATAAATAATGTTCGTCTACGAAGCAGTTGAAGTCACTATCGACAGTGAACAAACAGTTAGCTTTTTTGTTTTTTATTTCACTTTTTTTTTTTTTTGTTTGCTATCTAATGTGTCTTTCTACCACGCAGCGAGAGAAATTGGAACGTTTATCTTTTGATTTGTTTGCTGTGTGTTGGTAAGTGACGTCCTTTCTATTCTCTCAATTTAACGGTTAACTTTGGAATAACAGGGAATTACTTGCATGGAAAATTAGTCTATGGTCCCCATGGGATAGGGTTATACATTCATGGTTAAATGGCATTGCACGAAAAGCACGTTGCAAATTAGGTCTCTTGAAATGTGACTTTATTTTAATCACTTGTCTATTTGTCAGTGACGATGTACGCGAGAAAATGAGGACGCGCTATCTAAGCAACCCGGACTATAACTTTGAGAAGGTGAACAGGGCCAGTATGGCTTGTGGACCTATGGTCAAATGGGCAATTGCTCAGGTAAGTGTATTAACTTCGTACATTTTGTTTGACCTCTGTGTCGTAATAATAGGTATGTTGCTATTGCATATAGAATATTCTGAGGTTAATTCTTGGTCAGACCAATTCGACGCTCAAATGTCTATTTGTCACGACACACGTCTTCCTAATTTGGGCACCATGCTAATTGTTTAATTCGTATTAATTATTGATAAATAAAAATATATTTCTTTTTTAGATTGAATACGCGGATATGTTGAAACGCGTCGAACCACTACGCAATGAGCTGAAAGCTCTCGAAGATCAGGCGCAAAGCAACGTGAAAGCTGGCGATGAGGTGCGAGAACTAATCGCGCAACTGGAGAAATCGATCGCTTCTTACAAGGAGGAGTACGCCCAACTTATCAGCCAGGCTCAGGCTATCAAGACTGATCTGGAGAATGTGCAGGCTAAGGTATGTCAAACAATCCAAATTTATTAAATACAGCAATATGTCGTTTATAATTTACACTAAGTGTTAACATTGTATCTTGCCTGTAAAAGTACTACTACCTTTTAATATACCAAAATATAGGTATTGTAGGTAGTCAATACAAGAACTAAATAAAAAGTCTGAACATGGATTAATGGTAGATGTTAATGTGTAGAACCTTCCTTATAAACTAATGTTTAGCAATAAATTTTATTATGAAAATCTTAAATGATGATGATTACTTTTTATTAGCGCTAAAAAGTACAGAATATTATTATGGTTTATTAATAAAACGCATTGATAAAGCCTATATTTATCTAGAGGAAAGGAGACTGTACAAAAGTCGATTGCTTGGGTACCTCTGTCCCATTCGTGTTTCAACCGTCAAGTAATTGTGTTTGCATGGCTGTGTTTCGGTTTGAAGGGTGGGATATGGCGTGAATTTACTGGGTACAGAGGAATAACACCTAAGTCCTCAGGAATGGCAACGCATGGGGGGTATCATGGGCGAAACAGTATACTCTGTTATGTCCATGGTACTGCTCATGTCTATAGGCGACGGTTACCACTTTCCGTCAGGTGAGCCATCAGCTTATTTACCATTCTCAGTTGTATAAAAAAATCTAGAATTATAACAAAAAAATAGAAGCTGAAGATAAATGTCGCTTGTAATGTATATGTTCTTATATCAAAATCTAATGAATGTGTGTAACGTATAGGTGGATAGGTCAATAGCATTACTGAAGAGCTTGGTAATCGAACGCGAGCGGTGGGAATCAAGTTCGGAGACCTTCCGCTCGCAAATGAGCACAATCGTTGGCGATGTTCTACTCTCAGCTGCATTTATTGCTTATGGAGGATACTTCGATCAGCATGTGAGTACACGAATGATGACGTAATATAAATTATCTGAATTAATTGTCAGATTTTCCATAAAAACCGTCTTTAATCTTTTTCAAATAACTATCAGAACCAAAGTAAACTCTTTTTAAAAGTTATCATGATCGGTTCAGATTTTGCGATTATATCGCGTAATATAAAAAAAAAAATTAAAAATAATCAACCAATTTAAGTACATCTTCTTGTCTATTTATGATATTTAAGCGTCAATAAATTAATTAATGAATAATTTTTAATTCTGTAGAGACTATATATGTATTTTTAACTATGAACGCTACACTTTGTAAAAAGTGCATAATGGACATTGTAATATAAAAACCCATTTTGAAAAATTCTATAAACTTTGGAAAATATCTTAAAAGCTATAGCTTACAGTATATAAACTGTAAAATAAGGATGTTTATTTGTTCGTGTAACAGTATCGTCAAAACCTATTCTCGACGTGGACGGCGCACCTGGCGGCCGCCAACATAAAGTATCGCGCGGACATTGCGCGCACCGAATATCTCAGCAACCCAGACGAGCGGCTCCGCTGGCAAGCCAACGCGCTGCCCACCGACGAGCTCTGCGTAGAGAACGCTATCATGCTCAAGGTATGCTATATGCACTCCCAACTTAATATTATATGTACCTACATATAATACTGGGAACAACATATGTATATCAATAAATAATTGAAACTTTTTACCAAATAGTATTCCAGCTATATAAGTATCGATTAAACAAATATTATATTTCACTACAATAGGGTATATGTATTCATATAATTATTACGTGCTTGCGAATTGGGAGCCATTACGGTCTCCTATTTGCCAGTTCGGATAGCTTAGGGAATTATAGGAAATATTTATTATATTTTATATTTATATAATCCTAATACAATTAATTTATTTTATGACACGACATTAAAAATTGATATACTTAAATAATAAATCATTTCCAGCGCTTCAATCGGTACCCGCTCATCATTGACCCGTCCGGCCAAGCAACAGAGTTCATAATGCGCGAATTCAAAGAACGCAAGATCACCAAAACATCATTCCTTGATGACTCATTCAGGAAGAATCTAGAATCTGCCCTACGATTCGGCAACCCGTTACTTGTACAGGTAATTTCATTTATATTATTTTACTGTCATGTTTTCGTATAAAAATATTCAATATGTTAACGCACTTACGTTGAGCAACGCTACTTCAAGTAACTAGGTCGAAATAATCGAATAAATTTTAGCTTTAAAAATAAATGGCATATATTAAATGTAATACTATTATTTGTAAGGGTTTAAGCTAACTTAATTACTTATTTTCCGTCTTTATATTTTTTTCTAGAACGCAAAAAAAAATCTAAAGAATCAATAGATTTAAAAAAATATTGTACTCACTGCGCATATATGCCGATTCACAAAAAAACAAAGGGGGTGATGTTTGCTCGATAGAATAGTGAAGATGATGAATTCTTTAAACTGTGCTCTAACTGCTATTGAAATACATTGTCTTGTACATACAGGACGTGGAGAACTATGATCCAATTCTGAACCCAGTGCTGAACCGCGAGTTGCGGCGTACCGGCGGCCGCGTGCTCATTACCCTGGGCGACCAGGACATTGATCTTAGTCCCTCCTTCGTTATCTTCCTCAGCACCAGGTAACAAAAACTGCTTTATTCAAATATATTAATCAATTTAATAACAAGGAGTTTATCTTTTTTATATAACTACAAGAATTTCTCCAAGGCTTCGGGACTGGTATTGCGTTATTATTTTTTAATCGAAATACTTTATTTTCTCGAAATGGTCCCATGCTAATTTTCTTTTCTAAAATCCGATCCTACTTATCATAGATGAGCCGTAGACTTAATTGTCCTTCATCATATAAAAACTACAAAATTAACCTATTATTATGATAGTTTCCAAAATAATTTTCTTATTTTGGATAAGAACCCTACCCATTCATTCACACAAATCCGTTCAGACCCATAAGCATTATTGAGTAACAAGTGTACAAACATCTTTACAAATTTTATAACAATAATAATATATTGTATTTAATTTATATTTTCTGGCGATTGTAATTGGTTATATTTATCATGATTATACAATCTGTACTCAGAGATCCGACGGTGGAGTTCCCGCCAGATATGTGTTCCCGGGTGACGTTCGTGAACTTCACTGTGACCCGGTCCTCGCTGCAGTCGCAGTGCTTACACCGCGTCCTCAAGGCTGAGCGACCAGACATCGACACCAAACGCTCAGATTTACTCAAGCTACAAGGTATTGGTCTCAACAGATTATTCTAGAATCAAATAATATTTGAAAGGATTGACAATTTATTGTGCAAAAGCAGTCCAATCTTTATTATTTTAGTATTAATTTTAAGCCGTGACGAAATTATGCAGTACAATATAGTTTACACAGCTTATTTCAAAATAGACTTGCATTTATCTGCCAAAGGCCTAAGGTCTGTCTCAAGAGACCCATCTTCTTGTTAACTTAAAAAAAGTTCTTATAACAGAATATTTCTTTTACCAAACAATTAATGTGATTTTTGATTCTTTCGTTAATGTAACTTTATATTGTATTCAAGACTAAAAATCCAGCCCAATTTCGCTCGGGTAAATAAAATTTTCGAAAATATTATATAACCTATGTTACTCGCTAATAACGTGTCTTTCTATAGGTGAAGACATTTTTAAAATCGGTCAAGGTCTTTTTAAGTTTATCGATTACAAACAAATAATTAAATATTTCGTCTTTAATTTTAGATAATCAGATATATTAGTAAGATAACTAAACATCTAAAATAAATAACTTGATTTTAGGTGAATTCCATCTGCGTCTCCGTCAATTGGAAAAGTCTTTACTGCAAGCACTAAATGACGCCAAAGGCAAGATCTTGGACGATGACTCAGTCATAGCCACTCTGGAAACACTTAAGAAAGAAGCTGATGATATTGGACAAAAGGTAATAAATACACAAAAACAAATATTAGGTACTTTATTCCTTAAATCTCATATATTCTTAATACAAATTAATTTTACAGGTGGAAGAAACTGATAAAGTTATAGCTGAAATTGAAACTGTCAGCCAGCAATATCTGCCGCTATCTCAAGTAAGTACTTAAATATTCTAAAGAACAGGAGTTGTATCAAGTCCTTATTATATCACAATGTAAGCCTTTGTCTAAAATGACATACTTAGAGCTATGTGTAAATAAATAATTTCAACGACAGGAGTCTTGATTACGTCAAGTATCAAGTCCTTATTACAACACAATCTGAACCTTTATCTAAAATGCTTTACAAGAGAATATTGCTTGAAGTATTTGTTATTCCAAAAAGGAATAATCACAAAAAGTAATTATAATGACATCTTTAACTAAGAATGAGTAATTAATTCGTTTTATTATTCGCACATACCTGTTGTCGAAAGTGCGCATTGCAGTTATAAGATAGCATTTATTAAATAGACATTATAACGGTGTTCTGTGGCTTTCGTTTAAAATCAGAGAACGAAGTCTGAATTAACTATTGTTGATTAAATTGTATTGTATTTGCTAATAATATGATTATGTATTATAAAATATTGATAGTTGGTAACATAAATAAATTAATTTGTTCAGGCATGCAGCAGCATCTACTTTACCATGGACTCGTTGAACCAAGTTCATTTCCTATACCAGTACTCACTGAAGATGTTCTTGGACATATTTAGCTCTGTGCTCGTATGTTCTCTACTTACTGGTGTCACCGACTATACCGCTAGGCTGAAGATTATTACTGAAGAACTGTTTTCCGTATGTATTATTTTATTTTCCATTTGCATTAAATAGCCTCTACATATTGCGATTGCTAGAGATTGAAAAGATAACAAGAAACCCCTTTTAATTGACCTTGGGAGTGTCCAGAATAGCTCTTTTACTCAACTCTTCTTTCTTCCTCTTATTATATATATATATATATATATATATATATATATATTCTAAAATAATACACAATACGTACTAATAAACCAACCATTCTCAATATAGGTGCTAAAAGAGCGCTCTCAAAAATTTGCTATTTACAAAATCACCGAACTACATAGGTAACTGACACTTGTATTTTTTTTTTTTTTATTTTCCCTTGTTTTGAAATTACTGTTTAACAACAAGTATAATCGCTTCTTTTTTTTTTTAATAGTTTGTGTTTCGGTCGTAAGATCTTTAAGTCTCATTAGGGCCTTGTTGTTATCGTATCATATCGTCAGGCGGTGTACGAGCGCGTGGCACGCGGCATGCTGCACACGGACCGGCTGACGTTCGCGCTGCTGCTGAGCCGCATCCAGCTGAAGGGCACAGGCACGGAGGACACGCTCGACCGCTCGTTCGGCGTGTTCCTGCGCGGCAAGGAGGGCTTCGTGTCTCACGCTCCCGCCGCCGACAACCTCTCGCCGCACCAGCACCACGCTGCCGCCAGGCTCGCCACCAGGTCACGCTCACATACACATACACACTCACTCGTACACACATACACACACACTCGTACACACATACACACACACACATACTGCATCACATCGATTGCATATCTATGATTACTTATTTCACGAATATAATAAATTTGTAACTAGACGATACCTATATATAGAAAATATTTAAATAAAAATGTATAAGGGGACTTACAGTAACAAAAAATAATTAATTTATTTCATTCCTTCATTCATGAATTCTTCTAGTGATTTCATAAGACCTTATGAAATCACTAGAAGAATTTGTCTGTCTTATTTGGTTAATGTTCATAATTGCTAAGATATTTATTAATGGATTCAAATGGAATGGTAAACCTGACTATCGTTTCTTCTGGCAGTTAAGATTTCATCAAAACTCAACCGTGAAGGTTCCTCTGCATGGAGGTTAATGTTCATCATTGACTTGTCAGGTTGCCGCCGTTCCGGCGGCTGCTGGAGAAGGCGGGCGAGCTGCCCGAGCTGGGCGCGTGGCTGGCGCAGGCGGCGCCCGAGCAGTGCGTGCCCACGCTGTGGGACTGCGAGCCCGCCGCGCCGCCCGCGCCGCACACGCTCGCCATGTACCGCCTGCTGCTCATACAGGTGCCTAATTGAAAATTTTTTTTAAACCACTTAGGTGACAAACAAGCATACGGCCCACCTGATGGTAAGTGGTTACCGTAGCCTATGAACGCCTGAAATACCAGAGGTATTACGCGTGCGTTGCCGACCCTGAAGAAACCTCTTTACCTCCCCTTTGAAAAACCCCATGCTGTAGTCTCTTGGGAAAACCTCGTCAGGGAGCTCATTCCACAACCTGGAGTTCAACCGCGTTCAATACCGCCTGTGAGCCTGGGATCATCGACAATTCCCATAGCTCGTCGTTGCAACGAGTCGAAAGGTTCATATATAAATATATAATGTACCTGTATAAAATGCCCTATCTGTGGATAAATTCAATAATTAATATTTGCATGCCATTTGATGTGGCGAAACATAATGGCCATCTTATAAACTTCACAAATGCAACACCTTTTCTACAATGTTTCTAGCAAATAAATTTCATTTCATTTCATTTCACGACTTGCCTACACACCTGTACACGTCCACCTACACATATGCACCAACACACCAAACTACCTCCCTATCGACTTTTCCACCTACTAACCTGCAGCTAACCTCCAGCACTGTAACACTGATGTTCATGTTTATAGGCGGCAGTGAGTACTTCCCATCGGATTTGATCGAATAAGCCTTTAATTTGGTTTTCATTCCAAGTTATATTAAAAAATGCTGGATCCTTCTTCTGATATATTTTTATAGTCTTTTTAATAATTGATGGTTTATTTAATTATTGCAGATTCTTTGTTCATTACTCAGACAGCCATTATTATACAATGCTATTAATCACCCAATCAGTGTCCACCTCTAGTGATGCCCCATATACACTAGTGATGTGATCTTACAACATCTATTTATTAAAGTAATTAATTGTTACTTAATTTAACTTTACTTTTACTATTAGTGCTTTTATCACTTTATGAAGATATTTCTCAAAAAAGATAACATTTTTATAATTAGGGGGATGAGAAGAGAATAGGGGTACACCTACCTTTTTTCTTTTTTTTCGTGGGGAAATGCCTAATGCAGACCTATAAGCCCCGGGGAAAGCTTACGGGTACTGCCGGACTCCTACCGGCTAAAACCACAACGGCATCCCTCGCCGCGCCATAGTGTTGGGGACCCAGGTTCTCTTTCGAAATCCACCGAGCCCCAACGGCGTTGGCCCGCACCGGCTTGCGGGCCCCGACTCACATGTGGGACGGGCACCTGATGTTAAGTGCCCGTCCACTCTTTAAAGGGAAGCACGCGGGGATACGCGCGCAACTTCCCAGGACCATTTTAGGGGTACACCTACTTACAGAATAATGATATACGAAATTTTGCAAGATTTTTAAATATAAAAAAGGTTATCAATCCAGTGGAAAAGTAAGTGGTAAAAAACGGCAGTAGTCCTTCTCAGAAAATTAACTGCAAGTGATCGCAAAGATGCATAAAAAATCTCAATTCAGAGCAGTTAATTCAATTTTATGTTTATTTGTTTGTACACAGGCATTCAGGCCGGATCGTGTGATCGCGGCAGCTACGCAACTGGTAGCCGCGGTACTCGGCCCTGGATTCATGGCTAAGGCAGAAACTGAACTGGACCTCGTTTCTATCACTGAAAACCAACTGAACGCTACTACACCTGCTCTGCTTTGCTCCGTTCCGGGATATGACGCCAGCGGTAAACAATGCATTATCACATTTCATTTCATGAAAAAATTTTAATTTCTCCTTATTCAAATACTATTAAAATGTGGATTTAAATAAACTTTATGCAACATCTGTCTGTAACAATATCACCTGTTTGATTAAAAATCACTGCAAATTTTCTTGCAGTATTCATTTTCTTAATGAAAAAAGATCTAAAACTATAATCAATAGCTTTTTTAAACAAACATATTTTATAACTTACTTATTTTATACAATGTTATAAGCCTAGATTATATACATAGAGCATTGAGTCTTAAAAACAGGTCAACCTTTTGTCAGCTAATTGTTAAATTAGTTTTTTTTTTTTTATCAGTGTTTTAACTACTTACGCATACAATGTATCTTGACGTATTGTTTAATAAATGTAAAAAGTATTTACGCATTAAAAAGATACAGAAATTATAAGAAAATAAATATAAAAGTTATAAAAGAATCACTCATAACTATTTATCACGCAAAAGTTTATGAAAAATGTGACCCTCTTTTCTTAAAGCATTTGTATTGAGAAATTCTATCCATATAGTCTAGGGTTTTAAGATTATGACATATATGTAACATCGTTTATTATTGTTTTATTATAGGACGCGTGGATGACATGGCTACGGAAATGAACAAGCCGCTATCAAGCATTGCTATCGGTTCCGCTGAAGGATTCAACCAGGCGGAACGAGCTATCAACACCGCGTGTAAAACCGGACGGTTAGTAGTTATACATAAATGCATTTTTTTGGAGTACTGTCGCAGTTAAATAGATTATAATGATATTAATACTATGAATCTTTATTAGAATGTATACATAAAAACGTTAGTATTAAAGATCACGAGCGGAAGAGAATTTTGCTAATTGCTAGTAACCCTGGATAGTATCTGGATAGTAGAGATACGGAGATTGAAAAATGTAGCGTCGGATCGAGCCAGCAATTCGAAATTTACCACAAAATTATTTAGAATTCGCATACGTATTTTAAAATAAATTCAAATATATATACACATATAAAAAACGATCAGACCAATACAAAGAGGCGCACTCTTGATGTAATATTCCTGAAACCTTTAAAAGATCAGTCCGTTATGCCACTGAGGTCATCACAACGCTTATATTATTAATGATATACTTACCAGGTGGGTGATGCTGAAGAACGTCCACTTGGCGCCCGTGTGGCTAGTACAGTTGGAAAAGAAATTGCATTCGCTATCACCACACCCCAACTTCCGGCTGTTCCTCACTACGGAGATCAGCCCCAAACTACCGGTGAACCTGCTGCGCGCTGGCCGCGTCGTCGTTTTCGAGCCGCCGCCTGGCATCCGTGCCAACCTGCTGCGGACCTTCGCCACCGTCAGTATACCTCTTATGTTATTCTACCACCACGTTACTGTCCACTGTCCATGCCTGCTTCTATTTATTTTTCTCCTCTAGACAAGATATAAATAAACGAATCGATCAATAGAATCATTTCACGAAATCTTAATTACTCAGCGCTCTCTATCCCTTTACTATGAGCGTTTGTGCTTACCGTCTATTTTAATCATTATTTTAATACTATTATAATACGTAGCTATATATTATTTACAAAACAATTTTAAAATCAAACAGTGAACCTTAAAACTGAATAAAATGGATTCTATAACTTTTACAATAAAAAATAAAGCCAATTTTTTTTAAAAATATAAAATTTTAATATAATGTGTTGTACTACAGGTGCCCGCGGCTCGTATGATGAAACCTCCATCGGAACGCGCGAGACTCTACTTCTTGCTGGCTTGGTTCCATGGTACTACAAACACTAATAAAATAACGCTTTGTCTATGTATATTAACACGTTGTATGTTCTTTCCATTTGAACGTATCTCGTCTTACAATTACAATTGATCTGCTAAGTAATAGTGAGTTAATTCCATTATTACACTCACAACCGTAACTCACATATGCTCATAGGATTACAGTTTTAGTAATCAAAACAATCTGCTTATCCATAAATCGAAATTTATAACCTAAGTTGTTTTAATTATTTATAATTTCAAATTAGCCAAAAGATATTAGCACAGTCTACAGTTGTATTTATTTTATAGGTATTGTGCAAGAACGTCTTCGTTATGTGCCGCTCGGTTGGGCCAAATACTATGAATTCAACGAGTCGGACCTGCGCGTCGCTTGCGACACACTCGACACCTGGATTGACGCCACTGCTATGGTGAGATTTATATTTATATTTATTTTTTATACCATTGAGATAGTTTTAGCATAGCCAATTAACGTAAACGATAGTCTCAATAATCCCATTGAAGAAATTACCCCAATATTTTATTTTTGCCTCGTTACATCCTTCACAATAGACTGTAATTTTTTCACTGCCTTTTAAATGATACTGAAGTTTAACAGTTAAGATTCCACACGTATCTAAATTCTACACATGTCAACAATTAACAAAGTTAAAAATCCTCAATCCTCAATCAAAAAATACCACACCATATAGTAGCATTATGTTACTAAATTTCGTAGGGTATCACAAATGCTTCGATTTGCCAAAAATGATTTATACTTTAGAAAAATATAAATTTATTAAATAAAAATATAAATTAGGTGTCACAATATATGTATCTAACGATGACGTAAATAAATGGTGTCCATAAATAATGTATCAGGGCCGCACCAACCTGCCACCGGAGAAGGTCCCATGGGAGGCACTGGTAACGCTACTCTCACAGTGTATATACGGTGGCAAGATCGACAATTCGTTCGACCAGCGCCTACTGCACTCATTCCTCTGCAAGCTATTCACGCCGCGGTCCTTCGAGGCGGACTTCGCGCTTGTCGCTAATGTTGATGGCGTAAGTATACGAACTATCCATCTTCACTGGGTTCCTTACTGGATAGATTAACGGATATAAGTGCCACAAGCTTCTGTTCGGAAAGATCTACCTTCATCCACTTTCATAAGTCTCATGAATAGGGAATATTTTTTTATGAAATATACCAAAGTAAATTTTTATTATGCTTAAAGCTTTTTTTAAAGTTCCCTTTTTTATTTACTTTTTTTAGTAAGAGTTTAAATTTTAATTATTATTATTTCAATTAATTAATGCTTTGAGGAGTGATTTTAATACTTTTAATTCTTCATTATATCCAAAGAATTTTTCGTATTGATCTGTTATCAAATTATAGTTATATATTTTTTAATCATTAATTACAACTACTAGGCAACTGGCAACCAGCGCCATATCACGATGCCGGACGGTAACCGCCGCGATCACTTCCTTAAGTGGATCGAGGAGCTGTCCGATCGACAAACTCCGTCCTGGCTTGGACTGCCCAACAACGCTGAAAAGGTAACACACTGTTTAAACATTTTAAAATATATATTCTATTGATTCCTTTCAGCTTCTCAGAGGCTAACTATAAGAGATCTCTCCATGGGATGCGTCCACCGCTATGTTCAATCTTTTTCATGAGTTCACTGTAAAGTGTTTACGATGAAGATTACAACAATGACTGCTACTACTGATTACAACAATGAATTTTAAATTCGTAAATTGTGAATTCTATATGCACTTGAGAACATTTTTTTTTTTATAGTATGGTATTATTCTCCTATTTACAAATATATTTTTATTGTTTCTTTTTTAAATATTACTTCTATTCTTACAGGTTCTTCTAACCAATCAAGGTAGTGACCTCGTATCAAAACTACTCAAAATGCAACAGCTCGAAGACGAAGAGGAGTTAGCATATAATGCTGCTACACAAGATGATCCCAGTATGTTTTCCTCGTTTTAAATTGGTTTCATTATTTATCTAGTACATAACAACTACCAGATCTAATGCATAATTTACAAAAGAAAAATTTGCTAAATGTGTTATTTGCTAAGTTGTGTGTGTAATTTGCTAAGTAATCATATTTGTTTAGATGCAATGGTGGTAGAAGGCGACGGACGACCTGCTTGGATGAAGACCCTTCACCAGACAGCTACAAACTGGTTGCAGCAACTGCCAAAAGAACTACCAGTAAGGACATTTATATTTATTTTACACATTGGAATACAAAAAGAATAATATAAATAAATAAAAAACATAAATTTCTTACTTGTATCGAGTTTCATGGTTTTGAGTGGTTTTTTTTTATCTTAATGTTCTTTTATCTTTCTGATATAAATAGAAATCATATATTTAATGACATTGCTGTCTAATAAAACACTTATATTACAGACACTTCGTCGCACAGTGGAGAACATAAAGGACCCGCTGTACCGGTTCTTCGAGCGCGAAGTAGCCGCCGGCGCCTCTCTGCTGCAACAAGTGTTGCACGATTTACGGAACGTCATCTCCATCTGTGAGGTATGACACTGTACTGTTTATACATTTACATAGATATGCTCTGTATATACCATACCACATCAGCCATTAACTGCCCACTGCTGAACAGAGGTCTGCCCTTATAGGGCAAACAGATTGACAATTGTAGCTGTGGTGATGTTTTAAGAGGAACGCTATTGCCCATCCTACGACCATTAAATTCCTTCGCCTTTTACGACACCCACAGGAAAGGAAGAGGTGGCATTCTATGCTGGGAACCTTATGGCAATGCTCTTTATATACGACATATTAATGGCTTTTCTCGTCTTTTTCTTCTAAGATTTTAGAATCTTAGAAGAAAAAGATATCCCTTTCAGACCTGAATGACACGGGCGTGAGTTGTAACTTAAAAAAATTCTAAAACCGCGCGCAATTCTTTTTTACGCACGATTACGCACGAAGCTGAAATAACATGATAGTGAGATTCTAAACCAGCCAATAAGAAATCATTGTAGCGCTTAGGTGGTGCAGTAGTCTCGTGCGTGCCGGCAAGATGGCTTGGCTCCAAAACACGAAAATATGTTTAATCTGAAAGAAAAAAAATCTTGGGTCTGAAAGGGATATACAAAAATCAGTATTGATACAATTGTAGTAGGTATTTTAACATAATTAATTTGATTATATATATAAAAATAAGAAATAATTATTTTATCACGTAATCTCAAGAAGAAAAAAATAAATTTGCTTCAGGTTGCAGCTGAAAATCAGTGCTTTGCTTTTAAGCAAAAGTATCACTGAGCTGTAGCCTTTTTGGGTCACTGCGACACACTTGGTGAAAACATATCTCCAATATTCATTTTATGTTTTATATGTTGTTTTATATTTGAAAAAATGTAAATAATCAAATTGTATCATTTTATTCATTAATTTACGTGTGTTAAATGGCTCAAATAAAGTGTTTATCTATCTATCTATCTAAATATTTTTTAAACTAATTCCTTATCTGATTTATTCTTTTCACAAATAAAAAATCATTTCTGCCCAACGGCAATGGGCCGGAGTGGTATGTGACGGTGGGCGGGTCGTGTGCGGTGCGCAGGGCTCGATGAAGCAGACGAACGAGACGCGCGCGATGGTGGGGTCGCTGGTGCGCGGCATGCTGCCGGCCGGCTGGCGGCGCTACGCGGTGGCGCGCGGCTGCACCGTGCAGCAGTGGGTCGGCGACTTCGCGCAGCGGGTCGCGCAGCTCGCGGACGTCTCGCGCGCCGTCGCCGACCGCGGCGCCAAGCGGCTGCAGGTACACCTGCCACATCTCCTCTACTGTTCTTTTTTTTTATACAACTTAGAATGGCAAACAAGCTGACAGCCCACCTGATGGAAAGTGGTAACCGTCGCCTATAGACATGAGCGGTGCCACGGACATAACAGAGTATACTGTTTCGCCCATGATACCCCTCATACGTTGCCATTCCTGAGGACTCAGATGTTATTCCTCTGTACCCTGTAAATTCACGTCATATCCCACCCTTCATACCGAAACACAGTCATGCAAACACAACTGCTTCACGGTAGAAACACGGATGGGACAGAGGTACCCAAGCAATCGACTTTTGTACAAAGTCTCCCTCTGTTCTTTTTTTTTTACAACACAGGGGGCAAACGAGCATGCGGCTCACCTGATGGTAAGTGACTAAACTAAATGTAAGTGACTGTTCAATCAAGTTTCATTAAAACTCAATATTTAATTTGAACTTTTGTGCACAGAGTATCCCAGTTTGGCTCGGCGGCCTACTCAATCCGGAAGCGTATATTACTGCAACCCGACAATGCGTAGCACAGGCCAATTCGTGGTCTCTTGAAGAATTACACTTGCAGGTAACGAAACATTTGGCAATATATTTTATTGCATTTTAATATCGTATTTATTGTATTTTATGGTTTCAATAAATATAAAATAAATTTTAGGTGACGATTCCTGATCCGGGTACTCCAACAGAGAATGCTCAATCAGAATGGTCGTTCTCTGTGACGGGATTGAAGTTGCAAGGCGCCACAGTAAAAGGGAACCGACTATTATTGACTAACACCATCATGGTGGATCTGCCACTCACTGTTCTCACTTGGATACGGTAAGACCCTCTTGTATTTGAAAAACAAAAATATTTTCTAATTCTATGTATTTGCATTAAAAAAAAAATATGATACTAAAACGACATGATGATAAAACGATACTCTCTATTTGCTGTAACAATTCATTCAATGTCATTCAATTAATACTGAGATGTTTATTAATAGTAATATAGCCTATCAACGTCACACGTGGCAATCCCTGGTGAGTGCCTGAGATTTAGGAGGTTATGATATTTACTTTATAAGATATGAAGGGATGGTGAGATAAATACACCACTGCCAATCGTATACTATCTATAGTACAATACTGTACATAGTACTCTTTTCTGAATATCTGGTCATCCTAATGTAGTGCTCTTTTTTAATAGGTAATAATAGAATGATAATCCCGCCTGCGCTATCTATATGCGTTGACGGAATACTAATAAAGGATAATAGATGAAAATGAAAAGACAGGTCAGTTGCGCCATTCTGATGATTTTATGTGGACAATTCCACATAAAATCATGATGCAAAATAAAAGCACGATGGTTTCCAGAAAAGACCCCCAGAAGGTTGACCTGACAGGATATATTTAAATAACTTTATTGACCAAATGAAATATAGTACAAAAAGCGGGCTAAATGCTAGTTAGTAACATTCTCTATCAATCACACTTTTGGGATGAACTGTGTATATTGCTAATAATGAGGTTGCTATTTTTCGTTATTAACAATCTCCCGTCCCTCTTCCCCTCCCCTCCTGTGGCTAGTATTTGATTAATAATAATGGTGTGTTCGCAGGGGCGCGGAGCCAGCAAGCGCCGGCCAGACGCTGACGCTGCCGGTGTACCTGAACAGCGCGCGCTCGGAGCTGCTGTTCACGGTGCGGCTGCCCATCGCCGCCGGCCAGGAGCCGCATGCCTTCTACGAGCGCGGCGTCGCTCTCCTCACCTCCACCGCGCTCAACTAACGCGCTCACATTATACTTACATTATGCACCGCTTCACAAATATGTATACCAGTCCTAACTATTCCGCTTTATAGCAAATGTAATCGGTATTATTTATTATATATATAAGCTTGTTTCTATTCAATAAATATTTATTTATGAAACATTTCTTTTTTAAATATAGACTCTGTCTAGATCCTATATAATAATTTATACTCTGGATAAAACTAACCAAAACTTTTACATTAGGATACTAGTCAATTAATCGTCCCAACTACGTTATTACTTACGTCTTAAAAATAAAAGTTATTTTAATAGACAATCAATTTATGCTTAAATATTTGTAACAATTGTGATTTAATTAACAAAAAAATGTCTATAGGCAATTGTAAAAAAATGCTTTTAATAAATTCAACTTTAGGGCATCAGAGATATGGGATAAACTCGTCTAAGGTTTGTTTATTATCATTAGATGTTAACGTTATAACAGATGCTTTAAATCAGTAAATTTAAATATTTAAAATCTGAATAAAGGTGTTTGAAGATAAAATAATAAATAGGTTGTCCTTATATTAGTTTATTTCATAAGAAATTAATTACAGAGATACCACATACACAAAAAAGTAATCTAAACAACTGGATCAATTCAACAACTGACTGGTTCCCTGAATGCCAGTCTTCATACCCGGAGGCTTTTGTTTCGGCAACCTGGAACAATATAATAATAGATACTCAAGTCTTTGTTAAGTGTCTATAGCAGTGTTTCCTAACCTTTTTTGTGCCATTGCCCACTTGAACATTTCAAAAATTGTTATGCCCCCATACATAATGTTTCCCGACAAAGTTTACTTGACTAGTCTAATTCCCAGTTAAAATTTTGGTAATGTCAAACGAAATTATACATAATAATAATTTACAGAATTTTTTAAATTATATTATTATTATTATTTTTTTGTTACATTTGGCACCAATATGTACTCGCAGCATTGCATTTAAATGGCCCGGAGCAAGAGGGTTAAAATCGCTTCGAGTAAATGGGGAGAGGGCCCCACGTTGGAAAACACCAGTCTATAGGGTAGTATGATTAATTCAATCTCCAATATAAACATTTGAAAATCGATATAATTATATTGCAACAATAAAACTACTGAAAGTCAAATATAATAATTGGATAACAACAAGAGCCCCACCTGGTAGATATTATTTTTCGTGGCGACGAAGGATGGATATACTCTCTTTGCTTCTCCCATAAAACATATTTCTGATGGAGACGTTGCCGTCGTCTGTCCACGTAGCTTATCTAAAAGGATTTCAATACAATGTCAATACCAGTTGCAGTTGCACACACAAGAAAAATAGCGTGTGTACAATCTTTAAAAATGTAAACTAAACTAACTAAACCGTAATAGTAAACTATGTAAACTAAGTAACTAAACCGTAATAGTTATACGATTACTGCAAACAGTTCTTATTTATAATATATTTATAAAAAATAACATAAAACAACCAACAACTAACCTCAAAATCTGTGGGATAAGGGAAAGAAGGTAATGATGACTTACTTTCATATTAAAGAAACAGAACTTTGAGAAAGCCATAAGTCACATAATTTGTAAATGTTTCAAATGACTTCAAAAAGAACGAGGTTCTTAATTCAATTGTATTTTTCTTTTTGCTTTCTCATAAGTCCGTCACTTATAAATCGATTTGGAAAAATCTTTTTTTCACTTGAAAGGACATGATATACTTACAGATTGATCTCAGAAATTTTATTAAAACCGGTTCAGTAGTTTAGTTTTAATATTAAAATAACTTGTTTTGCCACAATTAATGACTTTTTCCATTAAATAATAAATAACAAACTATGATCATAACTCACAATACAACTAGCGGGTATCCACACGAAGGCTGTAACTAGCACTACAACGCCTACGATATTATCTCGCAGGAAACCCAGCACGTTGTTGATGTTAATGTCCTCAATGATGTCCCAAAATCGCTCCACCACGTCTTGAATTGTTTTCTCGCATACACCCTAAAACATGTCAAAATAAACCATATTACAAATCCTATTAATATTAATCTTTATCCTTTACTATTTTATCCTTACTTTGAAAGTGGGTTTGTTACCTCTTAATCAACCAAACACATGAAATTTGATACACTACGTGTGTACCAAATACATGTACGGTCCTATTTAGAATTGAGAAAGACATAGACTACTTTTTATCTCTGTCTATCAACATATCCTATGCAAGGAGATGATATCATTGATAACAAGTACTTTCAAATAATTGAAATAATGAATGTTAAATTTTTTTAATAATATTTGGATGTTTATTACCAATCATGCTAAACGGCAAATAGAATTTGAATGAAATTTGGTTTGAAGGGCGTGAATTTACAGGATACAGAGGAATAACACTTGAGTCCTCAGGAATGGCAACGCATGGGGGGTATCGTGGGCGAAACAGTATACTCTGTTATGTCCATCGTGTCTGGTCTATAGGCGACGGTTACACGTTCCATCAGGTGGGCCGTCAGCTTGTTTGCCATTCTAAGTTGTATAAAAAAAAAACACAGAAAATAATATTAAAATGAGATACTTTTAAATTTTAATTAAAATTTATAGCACTTATAATGTATGGGGTTCCGATAATATGTAAGAACATCTCGGAAATAACTAAGTAAGTTACTATAATATACAGCTCACCTTATTGCAAAATCCTTGAATACATGGTGTGCCGTCTGGCAATATGTCATTATGCGCCACAGGAAAGCATGTCTTATTCAAACTTTTACGGCAACAGCGCTTGCATGCGTCAGCAACTACAATAAACGTAGAAGAATTCGGATCATATCATTATATAATTATTAATAAATCTCTAAATACAAAAGGTAAAAAATTGTAATTACCGATATCGCACATGCAGCTGTGCATGCCCTGTGTTTCGCAGTACGGCATGCAGGTCCCGTTGCGGCAGCGGCCACGTTCAGCGCACTCGTGCTCGTCCGCTATCGCCGGCGCCTGCCCATCATACACACGCTCATTAACGTGACTGTTTCACTAAGGCCACGGCATATCTGATATTTCTATTTATTTCTGAGTGAACTCGTGCGTACGCACAATTCTTAGGCAATCCTTAACTGACTTCAAAAAAGAGGAATCTAAATAACTAAATGAGATTATATTTTTAATGCAGGTATGGTTTTTACAAGGTATTATGAATCTATTTCAATCTTGACACAAATTTTATCCAGATTTAAAAATTCATTTCTATGGAATTTTTAAATCTGGATAAAATTTGTATGTTTATTTATCTCTATAAATAAACATTTTAAATCGTAGGTTTATGAGAGCCCAGGATAACCTATTACCTTAACTAGAATTACCAGTGCCCGAATTAGCAACTTTGCCGCACCGGGCAAAAATTATATTTGCCGCCCTTTTTACAAGCTTTCATAAACGTCAAAAAGTTGGACCCAGAAAGTCACTGGCTGCGGCACAAGTCGGTGTGTATGTGCACCTTGGGGCAGTCAGCGGAGGCGCCATTGCAGGTAGCCTCGCCCTCGCAGGCCGAGTGCGCTGCCTCGCGACACACCACGCCCGGCGGCGCAAACACACAGCCCGCGCAGCATGGCGAGTTCTTGTCACTGTACAACAATACACCTCACTAAGCACTTCTAATGCCACATTACCGGAAGGACGGGGTAGTTAGTAACAGAAATTAATGGCCATGTTTCCAGAAATACCAATTAATAACAATAGGTTGACACTCCATTAAGTCGACTGTCATCTTGTTTGCCATTTCATATTGCATAAAAAACATATACACTCAATTCTGCGATCCCCCTAGAAATCATCATGATTCAATTCCAAGTAAATTTGTCACTAGAGACCAATTAACCTAACTTCATTCTCACCTTATCATCCCTCATTGATGCTCCCCAACGCATATTGATTACACAGGCGAGGTGACTATATCATTATCATCTTATAAAAAAAAACACTGCGTTTTTATTATTTACATATATACATAATATAATGACCAATGTAGTAATTTATACCAAATACTATACATATCGCAATATGCGTATAAAACATTATTAATATGCTTTGAGACATTTTTAAAAGTACCGATTATAATTATTAGTAAAAACTACTGATGTATTATGTTAAAACTGAGGGTTCCACCGTATTTCTACTAAAAGAACTAAACTGACTGAATTGTCGATAAAATTGTTCAATATCTAAGTTCAAGCAATAATAACTATTTACCTGCAAACGGCTCCTTGACTTTTTCTCAATTTGCAGTTTTTATCGCAACACATATCATTGTCTTCCGTACCTGTAATGAAATGAGCATATTAGTTGCTTCACTGGATTTAAGATATCTACCAATCACAGGCACTCAAGATTTTTATATTTCTATCACCAAATAAAACATTTAGATGATATTAAATGTATTAAATGATATTTAATTAAAAAGAAAAAAATATTCAAATATTCTCGCCTAGTAAGCCGGCGTCGCATTCCTCGCCACCTTCAACACGCAGATTGCCACAGAAACTCTCCTCGGGCTCTGAGAAGCAGCGACCAGACTTAGCCTGCAGCACCTTCCTTATTGAACGTAAGCTGCACGGGGAGAAGCGCTGCAACACAAATATATTCAATAAATAAAGTTCTTTTTACTATTAAGCATATTTCAAATGCATACTAAACATTAGTTAATTGCGCTCCTAACCTCTAAAATACAAGTCTGACCTAGTTTAGGGAGTAAAGTAATAATGGTAATAAAAACATTCAAAATAATCTTAATAATAACTTTTGTGTTAAGTCTTCGAAGTTTATTTATTTATTTTTTGCTAAGAAACACATTTTTATAATTTTAAATATATAAGAAATATGCAAAGTATCTACTAATGGACAGGCAGTTTGATTGTCATTCCCAATTGCATAACAAATCCAGTAATAATGTTAGAATATGGTTTCTTTTCATGCAAAAAAAATTAAAGGAAAAATAATAAAGCTGTACTAACATAAGTTCGTTTCTATTTAAAGAAATATAGATGTAAAAATACTAAGACATAACATCTAAAAACACATGAAGGCAACCACAAATTTTTATTTTAATGCTAGTGTCAATTAATTTTACAATTCAAGTCGTATAAAAAAATTAAGAGGTGTACGTACCTTGTTGTTGACGTCATAGCCACTGACACTGTACGTGTACATGAGGTAGGAGCCGCCCTGGCTGGCGGCGGGCGAGCACTCGGCCACGTCGGGGTCGTGCTCGGAGCCCCAGTTGTGACCGAACTCGTGCGCCGTCACCAGGTCCGCCTCGCGCGTGATCACCCGCTGCCCGTAGTGGTTGCGCGACGAACTCAATCCCGAGTTCAAGTACAGCGTATAGCCGTTCTTGAAATATTCTAAAAGTTTTGTGAATATTTTTAATTTGATTGTATTTAAAAATATTGGTAATACACTTCACTAAATTTGTAACACCAAGTAACCCTTATTTATGTTAGTATATAGTTATATGAACAAAACAAATAGCCAACCTACAGATCTGCTTTGATCTGATTTCTTTAGTCATGATAATTTTGGCAAAAAATTAATCGAAACTCCCATGGGCACGGGAGATAATGGGTTTCGCTGGTGCTTAACCACGGGAAACACGTATAGTTCTAAATGAACTCGTATGTTTTAAAACTTTGTCATTGAGCATTTTCTGCTTTTATCCTCCTCATAGGTGAGCAACACATTATTTTATATACATTTTATATAAATTAATTATACAACAATTTTATATAATTTTCTTCATAAGATACATAATAATCATAAGATAATCAAACCTAAAAATTAATCATGTTTGTCGACCTCTATTGCATTACGTTAAAACCTGTAATAATAGGTTTAAAATATATATACACATATGATATATAATTATTACAAATTAATATAAATAATAAGCAAAATCCCAAAGCAATATGATATTAAATAACCTATATAAAAATAAATATTTAAAGCAAAAAAAAACAAATAGCAAAACACTCACACTATTGCACCAAAACAGCTGAAAACAAAACAACATATATAAATTAACTAAAAGTATATTCCTGAACATATTAGAAAAAAAAAACTACACAAATGGGAAACAGAAACAAACTGGCTAAGCAAAAGAAGAACTAAAAGATTCATGTATTCTTTTTATCATTATTATTAACATGTGATATGTATCTATACTCTATTTATATATTTTCGCTTTTAGGCTGCAAAATTGAATAAAAAATACAATTAACATTTTTTGTTGTGTTCACACACACACACCGAGTTCTTAAAAAAAAAAAACATAATTTATAAGTTTTTTTTACTTATAAATACAAGTCTAAATTTAAACATCATTGAATCATATTCAAACAGCCAAAAGTAGCCTCTATGTCTGTGACAGAAGATCTCATCCTACTCCCAAAGAAAATTATCATCTCCTTTTGAAATGAAGTTTTCGTATTTGTATGGAAAGGTAAAAATCACTTACCAGGTGTACATATTCCTCCAACAGAGTTACGACGCGGCGAGCCAACGTAAGCCAACCCTAATATACCGCCCTCGAATTTAAGGTCAGTAAATAAATGTGCCAAACAAAAGTCCTTATGAGAGTACTCCCGACTAAATACCTGTATGACAAAGTGCATTTTGAAGATTAATACTTTACAAATGGACTTGTATCAAGAAGATAAAGCATTACACCACATTTGTTTATCTAAGATTTCAAAGTACATAAAAGGACATCTATTTTTTACTAAACGACTACAGAACTATTTGTAGAAATTTCGCAGTAAATTACTTAATACAATGACAAAATAAAATCAGAAACTTAAAACTAAAAGACTTATAAAAGTACAGATGAAACATGAAAACTTGTACAGTTTCCTTTCCTTCCAAGTGACTATACTAGAAAAATTATCTGAAAATTATAAAATTTAACAAGCAAACATCTGGTTTAGTAGTCATTACCTCGAGTAGATTCCGTACGTCCCACTTCTCACGCACCATGTTATAGTGCGCCTCGCCGCCACGGACACGCGTAGGTTCTGAGTGAACCAATATCTTCTTTATTACGAATCCCATACCCTTGAAACCATCCATATCCTGCCAAATATTTTAATTAGAAAAAAGGGAGTAATAAAGATTGGTAGAGATGTACAAGTAAATGTTAATACTTCGAAATTAATAAACAGTGGAGGGTGTAGTTTTGTGTTTCGGTTGAATCGGTACCGTCTCATCAATTTCTGGTGTTACAACACTGTTGTAGTATTACTGCAGGATGGTACAAGTAGAAGGGAAATATTATGTAAAAATAAACAGCCAAGCGCGAACGTTACTTTTTTTACCTATTACAATGTCCATACGCCCGTAAAACATAAGCTGTAGATAAATATGCGTGCAATATTGTATTGATAAAACATTAGCATGAAGTCCACTGCTAAAGTGAACCTAGAATGAGTTTATTATGTTTTTTTTAGAATAAAGGTATATTTACATACAAACCTGACGATCTTGCCAGACAGTATCATTATATATTTTATGAACACGATCTATAAGACTAATCTGAAAAAGATAAATCATTGATAAGCCAAACTGCTTAAAGTCTAGAAAAAACTTTAATTATCTATATAATAAGAAGGCATAAACAGAAGTCACATGTAAAATTTATATATAGGATAAATTTTATACAATTATAATACTTATAAATACATAAGTTACGAAATTTTGAAATAGGAACTGGGTATACTCTGAGTGAATAAATTTAAGACTTATAATACAAACCAAATAACTAATTGTCGATTTAGTGTTACTGCTCCCCATTTCTTGAAAAAATCTATAATCTGCTACAAGAAGCAGCGGGCACCTGGTTTTAGTAGGGGTGTACTCATAATCACTTTGCCGCTTTGGCCGTTTCACCTCCGGCTGCGAACCTGACTTGTCTATGACTTGTGACTGATTTAAATATTTGTCTTTTTCCAATTGTTCTTGTTTCATCTCCAAATTATTAGCATCGTCGTCATCGCCATCATCATCACCCTCTTCTAGTTCTAAATAAATAAAGTCAACTACATTAATGTGATGGTACAAAAAAAAAAGTTAATTGTCTATTTAAATACAATGGCAACCATGTTTTACTGAAATTATCACAGAAACACTTTCCAATTATTATTATAATTTTTTTAATTAATTTAAATTATTAATTTCAATAAGAACTCGAAACATTAAATAAATCAATATATTTTTTTTTTTATTTGAACTACTATTGGACATTTAAAGATTATTCGGTTTAATTACTTGCATGTTAATATTTCATTAAGTTCCTTTGAAACAGTTAAAATATTAATAAGAAAATGTTTGTTTGTTACTTATTGGGGACTTAATGGTTCAACCAATCCTCATGAAATTAGGTATAGATATAACATGAGAAGGATATAGACTAATTTTTACCTTATATTATTTTTTATACACCCGTCACACACAAAGTAGCAGGCAAAAACTATTACACACTATAATACATATTATATTATAACTATTAATAAAATACAAAACACACCTTGACCTTCCTTGACATAGCCACAAACACGGGGCTTTTCATTATTAGCAGTGGCCCAACTAAAATTTATGTCAGATGCTCGATATGTAATCATTGTTCTATCACCCAGATGTGGCAAGTGGCGCCAGGAGGGCTGAAAAATAAAGTGCCCAACAATATCTTTCTGTATAGTGTATACTCAGTACTCAGTAGTTAATAAAAATGTTTACTTGTATAATAACAAGTAAACATTTTTATTTATGACTAGTGATACAGCCCTGCATCGCCTGATAGAATTTTCGAGAATAATTTATAGCCTATGTTACTCACTGATAATATAGCTTTCTATTGGAGAAAGAAATTTCAATCTGAGTAATAGTATTACAAGCTAACAATCAAACCTAGGTTTGACACTTGACAATTTACTATATAATTGCAAATGTTTATTTGCTTACTGATTATTGGAATATGAATTCTATATATTAACAATATTTCTATTAAATAAGTTTTTAATTAAATAATTCTATTTACAAAATTAAAATATAATAAAAATACAAGTATTACTTATTTTGTTACATACTTATCTATACAATATTATAAATTTATATTTTTTTAAACCTAGTCATAATCATAACAATAATGTTTGAAAAAAATAACAGTTGATAAAAAGAAAATGTCAAAGATAATTATAATGTAAAACTCTAATATATATGTAGGTCAATATAATAACTGTACATAATAACATACCTCAATATGATATGTTTCTTCTGGAGTATGAATGACTCCAGTAACCATACCATCCTCCATATGTAATTTCACATCTGACGACTTCTCACCAAATACTCTGCCAGTATAAAAATTATCACGATCTGTAAATCAGATTTTTTCTCTTTATCAAACAACTTAAAAAAAGGAAGATGTACTAGATTAAGTTTTTTACATTAGTTACCTAAAACTGTCATTTATAAACCAATTTAAATATATTTTTTTTTATCTGTAAAGTTATATTTAAGAACTAGTCCTGTGGAAATTTTATCAAAATGAGTTTAGTACTTTGGTTTATTTCAATCAAAATAATTTGCTTAACCTTGATTGATAATTGTATTAATATAATCAAATATATTGAAAATGTAATAATTTTCAGGAGTACATATAAATTCCAGATTTATATAAATATGGCTTAATATGGAACAAATTTTAAATAATATAAATATTTATTTTGTCATAACTTTGTAATGGTTGTTGCATGTTAGTAAAGACAAAATTAATATTTAACCAACCATTGTAATATTACCTTATTGCACCACATTTTAGCAATAATCTTCATTCATTCATTCATTCATTCAACAATAAAATCTATATTTATGTAGAGATTTTTATACATAATAATCTAATATATAAAATTCTCATGTCGCAGTGTTTGTTACCAAACTCCTCCGAAACAGCTTCACCAATATTTATGAAATTTCGTGTGAATATTGGGTAGGTCTGAGAATCAGCCAACATCTATTTTTCGTACCCCTCAATGATTAGGGTGACCCACCCCTAAATAATTTTTTGTATTTCTTTGTTAATTTTTTTTATTTTTATTTTATTATGATTTAGCATTGAAAAATACATACAAATTAAAATTTTCACGCTTTTACGATCAACCCCTGTTTTTAAGTACGTTGTTTATTTTTATATGCCACAATAGGGTTGCAAGATGACAATTTAATATAATAATTGTAGTACAATATATTTTCATGTATGGTTCTAGAAATAAAGTATATGGTACAACAATGTTCGCCAAATCAGCTAGTAATATAAAAATTAATATTGATAAAGGATAAATTTAATGTTCATAAACAAAAAATATTGCCTTTAAATAATTATTATTACAATCCTTTAATAACAAAAGATGGAAAGATGCCTTGGTAAAAGTGTGTATTTAATAACAATTTTAATAATGTAATTCTAATAATATTCATTTTTGTAATGCCTGAATAAAGGCTTATTAATTTAGCTTATTTAGATATCAAACTTTTTGTGCAAACTTAACAGATTCACAAATAGTTTTAACAAAGATAAAATTACAGTTTATTAGTAAGAACTTTATATAATAAAAAATAAATCCCACAAATACTTACCAACATGAACTGTGCTTTCTTTACCATCTTTATCTACTTCATATGCCTTAAAATTAGAGTGCAACACAGTGGTGTGCGGGTGCAAAATAAGTCTGAACTGTTTGCCAAGAGTTTTGAATTTTAACTCCTTAATAGTATTAAAAGGATGGTTGGACATTTTAGCCCCTCTCTTCACTACATTATGAGTAAAACTTGAAGCATGTAATGTCTCAAAATGCCTGAGATTTTTATACAACGAACCTGAAACAAAAATTAACTAACACTAGAAGAATTCCAATGCTTTTAAAAGGTAAATGCTGTTTATTTAAAACATCTGTCGATTTTAGAGACAACTGAAGTTACTTCAAAAGTAATATATGAAATATACTTACAGTTACCACAAATACACCAAAAAAATAGGGAAAATAGACCTAAAAGAAAACTACTACTCTTGACACCCATTCTAGCTAAGAATATTTCTTCTCTTTTCGAAAATTTTCATTTGAGAGAATAGTTTATTTCAGAGTACAATATAAACGTAGTTGACTGCTGTACTAATAATCTGTTAATTTATAAAAAAAAATGTCTTCGTGATAAACAATTTCAGATTCAGGATCTGTCAAAAGAGTACATAACTAAGAGAAAAGAGAACTTACTTCATATAAGTCACGTAAAACCACTTGGTCAGGAATATCATACCAATCTACACAAAATCCTCTTTTTTCTTGTTATGTTGGCCAGCCTGACTTTCATTGGAATTGAATAGGGTTCTAATTATATTATAGTGTGATAGTAGAAATAAGAATTATGTGATAAAAGAAATATATAAATTTTATGTCATATTGCATGTTCCGATTAACATTTTTAGCAAAAATAAAACATAGATAACATTTTTAAATTTATTTATTATCTTATACAATATTACCTTGAGATCTCAATTTTTGTTTACTATTAATATTATTAATAGTAAACACACGTTTTTAACACCTCCCGTAGTTACTGGTAAGTTTCTAGAGTAGACCTCGTAATAGAGTCAATATTAATTATATATAGTCGTAATTCCCACGTTAAAATAAAAAGAAATATGAAGTACATACACATTTGACAGTATTTTTGTGAGTTAAGTTGGCACTATTCTGATTTATCATTTAACAAAATGTTGGCTTAATATTTCCTGACCAAATCCATACATTGAAAGCTAGTATGGAAGTTACATAAGGCTGAACCTGTCTGACCAAAAAATATATCTACCTTACAAAAAGTAAAACGAAAATGTCACCACAAAATAGTAATAATTTAGTTTAAAAAGTTAACAGTGGCTGCGAAACCTGGAAAATGTTACCTTTTCGATGCAACAACACAATAAAATATATGAATATTTTTATTGTTGTACCACAATCGATACATGCTTCAATCCAAAATATCGATCTCGATAGTTGTCGTAAAAACGCTAGGCTATTTCACAGTATTAAATTTTTAAACTTTATATAAAACATGGATAATAAAACAAGTACTTGTTTAATTACTTTATTTTCTTCTACTTCAATTTATAATATATATCTTTTGACAGGCGAGTAATGCAAATTCTCTTCAGTACATTAAACAAAAATTTAAAATTTTGTGCCAAGATAAATAGCATCTGAAAAAGAACATGTATTTTTTTAATGCGTGACAATGACATAGAAACCCCGGCTGTGCTATCGGTGTATACTGACGGGTTACCAGTGAAAGGTGATAGGTGAGAATGAAATGGCAGGTCAGTTAGCCCATCGTGACGAATTCAACGACAAATTAGTCACGATAGTTTCCAGGGGAAACCGCGTGGAGGTCGACCTGATAGGGTATATTGAGAGCAATGAGGACTAATTTCCCTATTACTAACAATCCCTTCTACCCCAAAAAACATGTATTAATTTCTAAAGAATATTGACGTGCATATAGATGCATATAAGAAAATTTTATTTATTATTGGAATTACCTATAACTATAATAGGAAGAAATTTATTTTTAATTTTAAAAAGCGATATTTGAACTAGTAACCGCATACTTTAAATATTTGCAATAATAAATATTTTTTTCTTATAAATTATTCATACATAATATGAATATAAGTACTATTTATTTTCAATAAGAGGGAAACTTCATACAAAAGTCGTTTGCTTAGGCACCTCTGTTCCATTCGTGCTTCTACCGTGAAGCAGTTGTGTTTCCATGACTGTCTTTCGATTTGAAGGGTGGGATATGGCAGTAAATTTACAGGGTACAGAGGAATATCACCTTAGTCCTCAGGAATGGGAACGCATAGGGGTATCATGAGCGAAACAGTAGTACTCTGTTATGTCCATGGTACTGCTCATGTCTATAGGCGACGGTTACCACTTTCCATAAGGTGGGCCTGTTTGCCATTCTAAGTTGCATAAAAAAAATCTTCATAATGTACCATATTATTACTTATAATTAAATTTCTATTTATGTCGATAAATAGTAGAAACCATGTCAGAAAAGCGATAATAAACGGATTTTAGTTTATTTTGCAAGTTCATCAAATTTGGTAATTACCACCACCATCATCATCATCATTTCAGTCATTATCCGTCCACTGCTGGACATAAGCCTCCCCCATAGACCGTAATAAGAAACGGTCCTGGACCACTTGTATCTATGGACTTCCTTTATTGCATTTTAAGTCGTCACTCCATCTAGTGAACGGTCATCCTACACCGAGTTTTCAAACTTGGTAATTACCACCACCATCATCATTATGCCTGGCGGTGTGCGACGAAGCATTGTCATGGTGAAGGAGGATATTACTGCGAGATCGTTGCTCACGCACTTTTTCCAAAACACGTGGCAAACAATTGTTACTGTACCACTCTGCAGTAACTGTTTTTCGATCCTCTAAAACAATTGTCGCGTAATGACCTGTCCTTCCAAAGAACGAGGCCACCATCTTTTTTTTCATGCTTCGACCTCTTTTCATTTTAATTGGCAACTCCTCCGAAGGAAACACCCACTGAGCTAACTGTCTTTAAGTTTCGGGATCATAACAGTAAATCTAGCTTTCGTTTCCCGTAACTATGTCAAACACAGAATTTGAGTCACCTCCGTTAAATCTTTCATGCATTTCACGGCACCAATCAGCACGACGGAGTTTTTGAGCCTCGGTTAAATTATGAGGTATCCACCGGGCACAAAGCTTCCTGACCGCCAAATGTTCATGGAAGATTTTGTGCACTTGACTCATACCAATCCCTAAGCTTGCCCAGATCTGCTGATCTTCTGTCGGTCACTCTTTTGTCAGTCTTTATCATACGACGCACAACACTGAGGTTATCTTCAGTCGTCGCCGTAGAAGACCGTCCCTCAGGGACATCATCGGTGAGATTAATGCGACCACGTTTAAACTCATTAAACCAGTTGTAAACAGTGGCACGAGACGGGGCTTCATCGTGAAAGGCCAATCGTAGTCTATCATAACTTTATTGTTGACTTAGATGACATCGAAAGTCATAAAAAACATTGCACGAAAATTTTCTCGTGTTAAGTTCATGATAACGTTACACAATTCATCAAGTTCATGATACGTAAAACAAATGACAAACGAATAAATTATATACTCAGTATTATTCGTAGAGGTTCATTTTTAAAATTTTAACACTTTTTTTTTATATATTGCTTTCAAGTAGCCAGTTCTAAAAATTTTCAGTGTACCCCTCGTAGTAATACTAATAGATTAGGCCACTCCTTCTTTTACTCTGTGTGTCGTAAGAGGCGACTAATAGAATTTAATTGTATAGGGATGGACAGCAGCGTCTCTCCTAAACATCTCTGAAAGCCTAACTGCAGTTGTCAATCTACCTGCCAAACAAGGCAACTATTAGCAAAACTCCGAAAAGCTCAAGCTGAAATGATGACTATTAATAATGTTTGCATTTACTTAATTCACTTTTTCATATAGTAGCGGAGCTAATTTTTATGCTGTATTACCAATGTTACCACCTACCACTGAGAGGGTGACCATCCGTCCCGTGGTGGTGTTAGGTTCATCGACCGCAAGTCCCTCGTTAAAAATGTCCTAAAGATCGAAAGTGTGTCTGCAGGGGTGGTATACCAGATACTCAGAATTACCAAAAGGTATTCGCTGAAACTTATACAGGTATATGCGCCGACAGTGATACGCTCCGATGATGAGGTGGAGGCAATGTATAAGGACATTACAAGAGCCATACATTCCACTAATACTCAATATACCGTATTGATGAGGGAATTTAACCTTAGGGTTAAATTCCCTCATCAATACGTCTTATCATCTCTCATCTTATCGTCTTTCTTTGTGCCCAGATTAGTATGGGCACAAAGAAATACCATAAGATGAGAATGGGGAACTAATGTATCGGGCAGCAAAATCCTAGAAGACAACAGTTGGCTGACTTCATAGAGAAGGAGGTATTCTTTATGATGAACTCTTACCAAAAGCGGCCACACATGAAATGGACCTGACTTCATACATGAAAACCTTCGTTTTACATTCATTCTTCTTGGTTTTACAGTCGAATATAGGCCATGACCTCTACCTGAATGTTTAAAATTAATAAAATATCTTTAAAAGAGAAAATTTTACAATTCTAAAATTTTCTCTAGATTTAGTACAAATGGAATTCGTAATACAGTAGTACAAAAAAGAGTAAATGTGAAAAAAGTATTGATATAAATATGTGAGAAAGGACGTATTACATTTTTTAAATAGTTAATAATGAAATACTGACCTCGTTTCACTATTGGTATACGTTGGCGGAGTGGAAGTGAAGACTAATAGACGAGATTAAAGCAGATCAGAGTATACCCTGTTAGATTGACCTCCACACAGTTCCCCCTGGAAACTATAATGCTGAATTCCAGATGTATTCATCACAATGGGTAACTGACCTGTTTATTCATTATCCACCTATCATCCCTCATTGGAACCCCACCAGCGTATACCGTTACCGTAGGGGGAGCTACCAATTCATTATCATTCGTTAAAAAAAAAACATAATTCCATCAATATAACTGAGGTTAAAATATTTTGATTTTATACAAAAAATACAAAAATATTGACTTATCTGAATTAGTACACTCCAGAAAGAGTTTAATATTTTAATAATAACACTCCTGATATATTCACAATGGACTTTGTTGAATTATTCAATAAGTTCAAAATCTCGAAATAATGTTGAAATACGATGACCCATTTAAAAAATTATATTTTTGCCAATCTATGAAACTTCACATTGTTTTGGTGTGAAAGATCTAATCTCTCATGATTAAATATTTTACTATTCGGTAAGACAGCTTATAGTCATATCATCATATCATATCAGCTTTAACTATCTACTGGCGCACATGAGCCTCACCCTTAGGAAATTTTGCCCGTAGTTGCCATGTTCGGTAGGCGGATTGGCAACCGCAATTAAGCTTTAGAGATGTTTTAAGAGGGACGCTGGTGCCCATCCCTCGCCTCGAAGGGGTGGCCTATTCTATATCGGGACAACACGGCAAATAGTCATATCGTCATAGTCGTAGAATACTGACGGATCTGACAAAGATTACATATAAAGATCCGTCAGTATTCTACGACTATGACGATATATAAAGTCAATAATATTTATTTTCTCTTCTCCAAATTTCATTCATGGTTTCTTCTTATGTATACCTCGAACCCTATTCACTCCATTTTACGGTATTTACTAATTATTACATTACATTATTAATTATTACATATACATTTACCATTTTAGAAGTCAATCGGTACTCATTATTTGCGCATATTTTTAACGGGTGATAATGGAATAGTAATCCAGCCAGCTAACTGTGTACACTGCCGGAACCCCCAGTGAGTGATGATAAATAAGGATGGTCAGTGGTCGTGACGAATTTAACAAGAGTTAACTAAGATGATTTCCAGGTGAAACCGTATGGAGGTCGACCTGATAGGGAATATCTATCAATGGAGCTGTTAGAAGCCTATTACTCAATCAAATCCGGCGCATTTGCTATGCGCAAGAAATCATCAAAAATGGAAGAAGGTATTGTTAGCAACGAGTACAAGAGACTGTCGTCAGTAATAGTGTTAGGTCGACCTCCATGGATCCTCCTAGAAAATTATTTATGATGGACCAACTGATCTGCTTAATTTTTACTAACATATTGTGTTAACTATATAACACTGGGGGAAAAGGATTGTTAGTAGTGCGGATTACTAGTCCTATTGCCAGCAATAATCGCCATCAGGTCGACCTCCACGTGGTTCCCCCTGGAAACCATCGTTGAATTCCAGGTGTATCCATCACGATGGCCTAACTGACCTGCCTTTTCATTCTCATCTATCATCCCTCACTGGTGCCCCGCCAGCATAGGCGGGCTTACCATTCCATTATTATCCATAAAAAAAACGCGTCAGTGTAAACTATTGGCGCGGTTAGATTTTCAGTAAGTGGTCTATTGCTAGCAATAAACATTTTGAAGCTAGAATTTTCCGATTGATTACTTAAAAAGTGCTATGCTTACAAACAAGTTTAAGTAAAAATAATAAACTGTTTAAGTAATCAACTTATCAAACGTTAATCATTCGTTACATATAATATTCACCATTTAAACCGATTATTTCAAATGAAGCAGGGTGTAAAGCTGCTTCATTATAATAATATAAAAATGTCTTAGTTTGTAGGCCGAACTTTTTAACTAATCAATCAATAATATTGAAAATTATTAAATTGCCTTTAAAAATTGACAGATTGTTGCAACTGCTATACTCCCTATGTTCAACGTAATTTGTATTCGGGATAAGTATAATGTTATAGCAATTAGTCAATACACCCTGGTTTTGCATAAACATCGGTTAAATTTGGTGTAATTTATCTTTGTATTTAAAAAAAAAAACCTTAAATTATGTCTGTTGTAGGTAGTAAGCTTTTAAGAAAAAGAAAGGCATTTTTACTGTTTCATTCTACAATTTATTTTTCTTGTATCATTGCAATTGTCTATGAAATGCATATTGATTAACATATTTAAATTCCACCTCTCAACCTTAGTACAAGATGCAAAGTAGATTCTTTTTGAATGTTGTAATCGGAAAGTGTACGGCCATCTTCAAGTTGCTTGCCAGCAAAGATAAGTCGCTGCTGGTCTGGAGGAATTCCTTCTTTATCCTGAATTTTAGCCTTCACATTCTCAATAGTATCAGAGGGTTCAACTTCCAATGTGATTGTTTTACCAGTTAAGGTTTTTACGAAAATTTGCATACCACCACGAAGACGTAATACAAGATGTAGTGTTGATTCCTTCTGTATATTGTAATCAGAAAGTGTACGGCCATCTTCAAGTTGCTTGCCAGCAAAGATAAGTCGCTGCTGGTCTGGTGGAATACCCTCTTTATCTTGGATTTTGGCTTTCACATTCTCAATAGTATCAGAGGGTTCAACTTCTAATGTGATTGTTTTACCAGTCAAGGTTTTTACGAAAATTTGCATACCACCACGAAGACGTAATACAAGATGTAGTGTTGATTCCTTCTGTATATTGTAATCAGAAAGTGTACGCCCATCTTCAAGTTGCTTGCCAGCAAAGATAAGTCGCTGCTGGTCTGGTGGAATACCCTCTTTATCTTGGATTTTAGCTTTCACATTCTCAATAGTATCAGAGGGTTCAACTTCCAATGTGATTGTTTTACCAGTCAAGGTTTTTACGAAGATCTGCATACCGCCACGAAGACGGAGTACCAAATGAAGAGTTGACTCCTTTTGGATGTTATAGTCGGACAAGGTACGTCCATCCTCTAACTGCTTGCCAGCAAAAATCAGACGCTGCTGATCAGGGGGAATACCCTCTTTATCCTGAATCTTGGCCTTCACGTTCTCAATAGTGTCTGAGGGCTCCACTTCCAAAGTGATTGTTTTACCAGTCAAGGTTTTTACGAAAATTTGCATACCACCACGAAGTCGTAATACTAAATGTAAAGTAGATTCTTTTTGAATGTTATAATCAGAGAGTGTGCGTCCATCTTCTAACTGCTTGCCAGCAAAGATAAGACGTTGTTGGTCTGGTGGAATACCCTCTTTATCTTGGATTTTGGCTTTCACATTCTCAATAGTATCAGAGGGTTCAACTTCTAATGTGATTGTTTTACCAGTCAAGGTTTTTACGAAAATTTGCATACCACCACGAAGTCGTAATACTAAATGCAGAGTCGATTCTTTTTGAATGTTGTAGTCCGACAGGGTACGTCCATCTTCTAACTGCTTGCCGGCAAAAATCAGACGTTGTTGGTCAGGGGGAATTCCCTCTTTATCTTGGATTTTAGCTTTCACATTCTCAATAGTATCAGAGGGTTCAACTTCCAATGTGATTGTTTTACCAGTTAAGGTTTTTACGAAAATTTGCATACCACCACGAAGTCGTAATACAAGATGTAGTGTCGATTCCTTCTGAATATTGTAATCAGAAAGTGTACGGCCATCTTCCAATTGTTTACCAGCAAAAATTAACCTCTGCTGATCTGGTGGAATGCCCTCTTTATCCTGAATCTTGGCCTTAACATTCTCAATAGTATCAGATGGCTCGACCTCCAAAGTGATCGTTTTGCCAGTGAGAGTCTTGACGAAGATCTGCATACCGCCACGAAGACGGAGTACCAAATGAAGAGTCGATTCTTTTTGAATGTTGTAGTCGGACAGGGTACGTCCATCTTCTAACTGCTTGCCGGCAAAAATCAGACGTTGTTGGTCAGGGGGAATGCCCTCTTTATCCTGAATTTTAGCCTTCACATTCTCAATAGTGTCAGATGGCTCAACTTCCAAAGTGATTGTTTTGCCTGTCAAAGTTTTAACAAAAATCTGCATACCACCACGAAGACGCAAAACTAAATGTAGTGTTGACTCCTTCTGTATATTATAGTCGGAAAGTGTGCGACCATCTTCCAACTGCTTACCAGCAAAGATTAACCTCTGTTGGTCTGGGGGAATACCTTCTTTATCTTGGATTTTAGCTTTTACATTTTCAATAGTGTCAGATGGTTCAACTTCCAATGTGATTGTTTTGCCTGTCAAAGTTTTAACAAAAATCTGCATACCACCACGAAGTCGTAATACTAAATGTAATGTTGATTCTTTTTGGATGTTATAATCAGAGAGTGTGCGTCCATCTTCTAGCTGCTTGCCAGCAAAGATAAGACGTTGTTGGTCTGGTGGAATGCCCTCTTTATCCTGAATCTTAGCCTTTACATTTTCAATAGTATCAGAAGGTTCAACCTCCAAGGTGATAGTTTTTCCTGTTAATGTCTTTACAAAGATCTGCATACCACCTCTTAGACGAAGAACAAGGTGCAACGTAGATTCCTTCTGGATGTTGTAATCTGAAAGTGTACGGCCATCCTCCAATTGTTTGCCTGCAAAAATGAGTCGTTGCTGGTCTGGGGGAATGCCTTCCTTGTCTTGAATTTTGGCTTTCACATTTTCAATAGTATCCGATGGTTCTACTTCCAATGTGATGGTTTTCCCAGTTAATGTTTTGACAAATATCTGCATTTTGGTCTGAAAACAAATAAAAATTAAGTTAAATTAGGAACCCCAATTAATTAAAACACTTATCTGCATGTAAGGCACCCTGTTTTATTTTATGAACTTATTTTATGAATTTTATTTTATATACTTATGAATTTTTTTACTGTAAGTTACTAATAGTGTGAATATTTTTAAGAATTATTATTCAATTTACCCTAAAACGCAATTTAAGTATTCAGCAAATGAAATAGGTCTCCGAAGATAAAGTCTTAACATAAGAATTGCAAAATATTTACATCTCATAATATCAGTCCCAAGATTAAAAACTTAAGTCTTAAATTGTCTGTCTCTTAAGTTGCAATTGTCTTTTATAAACACTTTTACACCTTTTAATTTTATGTTTAAACCTAAATAAACTACTAATGATACATTATCTAATGTAACTTATCATTAGTATTTTTTTTATAATGGTGCAATTACCTCTTCCTATTTTTTCTTTTTATATGTAGGTGTTCTAAAAGTTTTACATTATTTTTTGCACTCAATACTCAAATAGATATGTAATAGAAGTAAAAACTGTGCGTAAGAAAGTATATCCTAATGTTTCAATGTAAAATGTTCATTTCATTAAAAAAAAATATATATTGAATTCTCCTAATGTACAAATTCAAAATTACCTACTTATCTAAATTATAAGATTAATTGATAGGGTTACAATTTATCTGTAAGACATTAGACATTACAAAGGTATTTTAATATAAATAAATAAATAGGATATAGAAAATTATTAGTCTATAGGTAAATGTTATGAATACGAAAGTAATTTTGTCTATTTGTTACTATTCACGATTCCTAGATCACAGAACCAATATTGATGAATTTTGGTCGAGACGTCGGTTAGACGTTGGAAATCCGATTTTGATCCATCATAATTTGGGGATGATTTGCCTATCTTTGTATAAAATAACTATAGTCGTATATCATACATTCATTAATAGATTAATAATAGATACAAAGAAATGCAATTCTAAGCATACGAAGTCGCGGAAATTAATTAGTTTAAAATAATAATGTAACTAGGTTATCTACCTACCAAAAACCAGATATTACACTTCCTCTAATTACTGAAATCTAGGTCAGTGGATATCCTTAACAGCGGTTTTCCAGTTAACAATGATATAAAATCCAATCAGTTATCAATTTTATTCTAAATAAACCGCGAATTGAAATTAAATAATTAAAAAGAATCTGTTTTATATCGAACAAGAACAAAGACAGTGTCAAAACAAAATGGCGTCTTGTACACTGCAAAGTTGATGTTGAATTCGTACTATCGCTAGGTTAGGTAATTAGATAAGCACGCGATTAATTCCATTTTAAATTCATCTTGCTCGATTAATGGAAGAAATAATAAAATTCATAGATAGAACTAGATTTTTAACATTTAAATAGATGTTAAAATATGCGTACTTGAAATTGGATTTATTGGATATTAGATATTAAAAAAATAAAAACTTACCAATTCACTATTGCTTCACTAGAATTTGGTCAATTTGATTATTAATAAGTAACAATTTTCTTATTTCAATTAGGTATATTATAGCAGCTCTGAAGACTTCACACTTACGTCGCTTTTGTAGAATTTTTCACAATGAAATGGTTTCGCCAATGACTTGACATCCCTTTTTATAGACTCGGTGATAATGCAATTATTGCGATCAATGCTTTGTACCGAATGAATTCGAATAATGCCGATCTTTGTCGATCTTGGAATTTGTTTCTGTCTAATTCTATAGAAAAGACAAGGACTTACAATTCGTCGATTCTGGAACGCATGCGTCATCCTTTTCTTTGTCACGATTCTCATGAAATCTCGTGTAATTTAAATGAAACGCAATAACCCCTATCTTTGAAAACAAAACAAAAAATCGATAATGTTAAGTCACGTTAGTGTGTATATATTAATTTAATCAAAATAATCGAAAGATAAAAAAAGGGACCTAAGTATTATACTTTTTCTAGATGTTTTCTATAATAAGGCATATTAAGTAGATAGTAGGTACTAAGTAGTATAAACCAATTATATCTAAAAAATAGTATTAGAGACGTAGCATTGTTATGATTACTAGGTGGATTAAATGCACTTTCTTTTATAAACAGCGACCTTACCAAGTAGCAAAAGAACTATAGGTCTGCAGAGACAATCTTGTGGTTCGCCCTGAAAACTATAAACTATATACTATAAACTTTAACTTCAGACCTAATCTAAAATAAACTGGTACCCTGCCAGTTGATATTGTTAGGACTACAAGTTATGAATACGGGGACAGGTGAGATAGTTCATCGTGACGAATTCACCAAGAATTAACCACAATAGCTTACAGGGACAATAGGGTGTATGTCGACCTGATAAGGTATATTGCTAATAATGGGGGCCAATCTCATCATAACTAACAATCCCTTTTCTCCTAGCGTAAATATGGTTTCTCTACAAATTTTATTATCTCTGAAAAAGTACTGGAAGAGTAAAAAATCTTGCAATTAATCTGACTTCTGTCAAGTAAATAATTTTTTGGAACATCCCATTATCACCAGTTAAAGAAAATAACCAAACCGCCAGTGGATATCGATAGAGCAGGAAGAGTTTAATATCTTTATCTTATAAAAAAATCCTCAACACATATTTTAATCTAATTATAATCAATCGTTACAATGTTGTTAAAAAAAGTGGCCCATTTTCATATTTTATTCAAACAGCGAGTGTTATCTACTATTTTCGTCTTCATGTACAATGTAGTACATAATTAAAACTATAAAACTAAGTATATGTATACATATTGGTGTATATATCTATGCAACTATCAATATGGGTATCAATTAGTACTATTACATTTGTAGCATTAGAGTTTTCAGTCACTTGATTTAGAGAGATTTCTTTTAGCATTAAGTAAGTTCATCTAGTACACATTTTCTGTACTAAATAACTAATATAAATTTGGTATAAGTATACATATTATATAAGAAAGAAAATGCAGATGAAATCGGAGCTTTTTTTATGAGTGAAAATGGAATGATAACCGACCCTACGATATCTGCATATATAGTGGGGTACTAGTAAAAAATTATGTATAGGCATGAAAACAGGTCGATTAGCCTATCCTAATGAATTCTACTAGAAGTAACCACGACAGTTTCTAAGGAAAACCGCGTGGTGGTCGACTTGACAGAATATATTGCTAGGAATGAGGGTCTTTTTTTATGGATGATAATGGAATGGTAACCCCGCCTCCACCAGTGAGATATGATTGGTGAGGGTGAAAAGGCAGGTCAGTAAGCCCATCGTGACGAATTCAACGATAAATTAGTCACTATGGTTTCCAGGGAGAACCAGGCGGAGGTTGACCTGATAAGGTATATATCCCCCCCCCCTCCCACTTTCTGAAATCGGAGGTATAAGCTATATATGAATATATATAGCTAGGTATAAGGTATATAGTAATCTTTATGTAAAGCATAGGTACAAGAAGGAAGGGTCTGTTAAGAATGAGGTGCAACAGCCTCATTGCTAGCAGTATATTCTATTCTCTCAAACTCCATACTGTTTCCCTTGGAAAACATGATTAATTCCTGGTAAGTTTGTCACAAAAGGTCAACTGCCCTGCCTAACTTTTTTCTATAATCACTCACTACTACTCTGTCAGCATATACCAATATTGCAGGCAGATTACTATTCTATTATCACCCATTTAAAAAAAGGTACATATAACAAATCAGTTTAATGCTTTGAGGATTCTATTATATATTATATATATTATATATATATATATATATATATATATATATATATTATAATAAAATAAGCAATCTGAACTTTTATACTTTTATTATATTACAAAATGAGTTCTTACTAATCTAATAAATTATCACAACTACCAGAGATAATTGTCAAATATCTCTCAAAATATAATACAAGTGCAAGCTCTTTGCATGTAAAAATTTGGTGTATAACTCAAATGAGCCTCTAGTTAATTTCACACTACAGATGGCATTTTTAATACATTTAAATTTAAAGGGATTTGCTATCAATAAATAGTTTTCAGAAATACCATAGTGTATATTTTAATGGTAAATTTTAGATGATAATAATAGCTACACAAAAAAAAAAAAAAACAGTACACCAAACTGTATAATCAAATGTATTAGTTTTCATAAATTATCATACTTTTTTCCAAGTAAGGTCTTAGCATTGTGAAAGAAAGAAATTTCTGCTTAAGAATAAGGAAATAGTAACTCTTTCTATAAGTAATTTGATCTTCAACATTAATTATATATTTGTAAAGTAACTACTAGAAATAATTATTTCTAATTTTATTGTTTTTTTTTATGTTTTTTGGTTATTAGCTTCCCAAGGTCTAGGGCCACGCTTATTTTCCCAGTTATCTATATCCAATTTCTGTATTTCATCATATGTATCTTCCAAGGTTACATTTTTATCTCTATGAAGTCCCATTTTTTCAGCTTCTTGTTTACTAACACCTTTTACTTGTGAGAATTGATACCTGTGAAAAATTAAAATTTTAAATTACAGATATAAATCGTCATTTGTGTTGTGACTTCTTTATGGAACTTCATTATATCAACTATATATTATTCAAAACATACAAATATATAGTCAATAAAATAAGGGTAATTCATAAAGTAAATATAATAAACTGCATTGTTTGAAATAATTTTGTTTTAGATATATAATGTCAATATAAACAAATTAAATATAGTACAACCCTGAATGTTGGCACATTTCACTTTTGTCTTAATGCATAAATAGTATCAATAATAATTATTTCATTTAGAATGTCAGGTGGCAGGTTTATGAAAAACAAATGTTAAATAATTTTATTTTATAGGTTGTAAAATTACTTTTAACACTATTTAAATTTCTTTAGTACTATACATAACGATTATGATGTTAAACCTAAAAGGAATAGTAATGTAAAATAAATGTTTATTTTAAAGAACTGAATAACCAACAACAGCAGGTGTTGGATGTATCATCAGATGATTTCAGAGTTTTCAGAAAAAGGTATAATGTATAGGAATCTGGGAGATAAGTACGATTGTGAAATGATGCATATTACGAATAGCTTTTTTAGTTATCAAAATTCTGAAGTTTTGCAATTATAAGTAATTAATAAAGAAAAATATTGTATCGAGAAAAAAGACAAATTTATAACCTGATTTGAGTCCATTCCCTTAAACCGAATGAACCTCCTAAAACAAATAGTAGAAAAGGAAGACCATATTTAAAAGACTTTTTCTTTCTTAAATCTGTTACTGAATTCCGTAACGATTCTATAAATGTATATATTTTGCTCTCTTTAGCTGACATAATATAATAATTTTACAAAATGTATTAACCATAGAGTCGAATAGGCATTTAATGAACTTGACATTTGACTGAAATAAACCAAAGATGATACATGTTCTTAAAAACAAACCATATACTTGACTTTGACAAATGACATTCTATAGGTACATATATAGCTAAGAACAAGGAATTACATGGAAGGAATGATAAAATAAAAACTGTAAGTCATATGGTTATCTCCTTTCTTCTTATGTAAATATAATTAGTATAAAGAGGACGAAAGAGACCATCAGTTACTATTTTTCTTAGTGTATAGAAAATGTTTGATATGTTAAATATTTGACGTATGCAAGCAGGTTGTATTTGAATTTGGTATGGTTATACGGCCGTATAACATTTTCTATGCACTAGCCTGCTATGAATTGACAATTTTATCACTCCTTCTATGTAACTCCTTGTTCTTAGATATGTAGATAACCAAGACCGCACATTATTATTATCATGACGAGAAACTATTTTGACCTATGTATCACAGTTTCTCGTTTCATTTATATAGGTGGGTAGATAGACTCAGGAAATATACTTCATAATCTAAGAGTAAATAGGTATAAATAATTTGTACAAAAGACTATACAGTAACTCAAATACTTTTCTTAGTCTATGGATAGAAGATTATTGGCTTCTTCTTAACCACTATTTTTCCAATAAGGCACTGTCGACAATTAACTTCACTTTTTTCTAAAAATTCTTAATTATATAAAATATTTAAGATGTTTCTGTAGATTTCTTTTGATAGCTTAAGAATGTTACTTACTATCTAGATACCTTATTTTCCATCCATACTATGCCATAATATATTATCCATACATGCTATCTGAAAATGTGTAAGTTGGTTACACTGAAAAGCATAGATAACCAAACAGACAAATAAAAAGTCAAGAATTTTATAAAATGGCGGATTTGTGAGTGACGTATGTGTTTTGTGTACTGTGTTATGAATTAATTATTTTCTTTAAATTATAGTGGTATTATAATGAAGTGAAGACTTTACAGTATCTTTTTACATTATTTTATATTTTCGACTTTTGGTAAGTTGACTTTCTGTCTGATGCATGCATAGTATAGTATGACTAATAATTTTGTCACGGTGGACCGAATTGTAGCCGTAGTTTGTAGGCGGGATAGGAACGGCCTCATTTTTCGGTTATTCCTATATTCAAGCATTCTGTCATTTCTACATTATCAATGTATAAATAAAGTCTTCATAAATAAATTAATCATATGTTTTTTTTTCTGTAATAAAATATTGTAATTTGATGTTTGCCTGGGCACATATTAGAACGACACTTATTTACTGTACATTACTCGTGGCAATAATTGTAATAAGATAAAAATTCACAATCGACTATTCGCTATACTGAAATGTATTTGTTTAATCTGTAGTTCGCTATTCTGCTGGTGATGTAAATAATAGATACGCATGGTATTGACAAATTGCCTTTGTTACCATTTATTAGCGCAAACATTTTTATCGTAATTATATTTTATACTTGAATTTACGCCTCTCAACAACTTGAAAAGGTTTATATAGAAATACCGCTAATATTTGTAATTGCGGAATATTGGTCAGTGGGTATACATATACATTAAGAAGTTAAACAAGAATCTATAAAAATAAAAAAAAAAATAAACCTTAATACATACTAGAGTAGGAAAGAAAAATCATATAGTAATTTATTGTTGAAAATAAATACATTTTTATACACTGCAATATATATGTTGAGTATTAAGCCAAATTCTTTAATGTGGGAAGGAAACTGTATTGTTGTAAAATCACAAAATATTTTTTTTATGTATTTTCAGTTTTTGCATCATCTCTGTAAGATTAAAACCCATTGTATTTTAATGAACAAAGTTAATCATTTTGCTATTGATTTCTTTAGTGGTAATCTGTGGATTGAAAATTTATTTATCTTTTTATTTAGTTTTTGTTTTTTTTTTTTTTTTAATAAACCCACTATTGTTTAGCTGATTAGGCACCAAGAGTTAACATGCAAATAAATAGTCTCTTTTACACTTGGAATGTTAATAACTGTGTAAAGTGAAATAAAAATACTGAGTTTATCTTTTATTTTTAAGTTATATAAACTAATGTTGAACTGTATCTGTATATGTGTTGAGTTGTACATTTTTCCAACATCTTTTTAAGCTATGTTCTTAAAAGTCATGTCAGACTGAAGTAGTTATTCTGTGAAAATTGAAAATAGTTTCTACTTATTTATACTTTTGCTATTACTTTCATGGGTCATTTTTTCTTTTATAGTACTGATATGATATAAGATCTTTTAGCCCTTCTATATTTTATTATATTATACTCCTGTGTCACAATTTTCATTCTCATTAATACCGAAACCTGTTCAATTAATTTTCATGAATATTTGTAAATTTGTATAATTTTTTTGGGTGAAAATGGATTGGTATTCCCACTTCTACTATCTGTTTACACTGGTAGGGCACCAGTGAGAGAATAGGATAGGTAAAGATAAAACAGGTATATTGGGCCCATAAAGAATTAACCAAGATGTTGAAGTCAACCTGATTACTAATAATCCTTTTCATCTTGATAGCTATTGTTTGCTCCAATCTGACAGGTAGTATAGCTTTTATCCTGATAAAAAAATAGGTTCTAATTAGAGAGCAAAACAATGCTTATCAGGATAGAGTGTTTGTTTATTTGTTTGTTACCTCTTGATATTTTAATTGAATATTTAGAATGGGAAAGAAAATAGGCTACTTTTAGTCTTGTTCAAGCTATAATATTGGTCACATAAATAAAGTTGCAGGTAAAGATTAGTGAGAAATAAATAGGATAGTGGATTAGGTAGACTTGTAAGCTCTGCATTTTCAAGCCTACTTTGAATGAAAAGATGAATATAAATAAAAAACACTGCAATCATTATAGACCTAAAAGCCCCTTTTCAATCATTTAGGATGTATAAAAGGATAATTTTTTTTATTAGAAAACTTTTTATGTGTTGTTGGGTTATTTTGTGTTTAAATAGTATTTTCATTTCATTTAAATAGTTAACTCTTGTTAGTTTCTAAATAATTTTTACATAAAATAATTTAACCTTTGATATTACAATACCATTTTGGTTTTTATTTTATTTTTTTCTTTTAGTATGAAACAATACAACTTACTATAACAAATTAATCTCTAAACAATACAAAAACCATATTACAGATACTATTTCTACAGATTTGATAAACAATCTATTAACTTTATTGAGCTCTTATTTTTCTTATTTAGGATATTGCCTAATGACTGGGCCCTAATATAGGTAACATGGAGATGTTACCTATATAAAAGAAGTTGGTATTCAAATTATCAAATTATATCTTTAGACACTTGCTCGTTTTTTATATTCCTTAAGTGCTAACATATATATATATATATATTGTTATGCTTTTTTCTCCCTCTCTACCCTTTGCTATATGTTTTCTTGGCCTATATGAATTAAAGGACTGAAAGTTGTGATTAAAAATGACCAAAATCAGGAAAACAACAAATTTATATGAACGACTTTGGTACGCAGTCTCCCTCTGGTAAATACAACTTGAGAAAGTGATATTAAAAAAAGGGTTTAAAAGTACAAAGAGAAGACGTTCCCTACATGATACTAGTACAAGCTGATCACTGATGGAAGTAACACAGTGACAGGTTGCTAGCTCATCGTCTACCCAGACAAACACAAGGCCATAGTGAATGTGAATGTGAATATGCAAAGGACTCCATTTTCCGCGCTTAGCCTCTCACTTGGGCCATTGTGCGTATGAGTCGTGGCTAGTGCAGCCAACCTAGCTCCATCCAGAAGCGCAGAAGCTTCCTGGGTTCTTCACAGGACAAGGCCATAGTTCCATTAGTCGCTTTTCACGACATGATAGGGAAGAAACCGTTTGCATTACTTTATAGAAATTCAAACTTTTACATTTGGAAATTACTGTGTACAGCAAATACAGGATATCTAAGAAAATAAAAAAAAAATCGTTTAATAGCATATAGAACAGAGAAATTACCTTTTCGGGCTTTATATTCCTTTTGAAATTTTATTATGATTATATTTGCTCCAGATTTATTTTCCGGGCTGAGAATTACGCCCCACAATTTTGCCAATCCTCAACCAAACGAAGTTCTTGTGGCGACTTTGTATATTAACAAGTTTTACTTCCGATCACGAGACCAAGGCGAAATCCAAATTTCTGTATACGTATGCGATATTTTGAAGTCTAACCCCTGCCGTCTGCAGACGTCAGTATCTGCCGGAGCCGTCCAACGTATACGGATACCGATAAATTCGACCTAGTCTATTATATTGTAATTTTTATATATTTGAAAACCAGTGCTACAATATATATATATATATATATCTTTTTTTAAATTTGTAATGTATACTAGATCTTAAAAAGATATATTCTCCAGTATTCAACATTCTTTAAAGTTTTTTTTTATATCTCTAGTTATACTACATCTGATCTTGATTTTCAGGCCTCCAGAAAAAAAAAGGATTTAGATATGTTGTTTCAAAATTTTTGCTATTTATCACGAACTATCATTGAAAATTGCATTTTTAAAGTCATACAAAAAGGATTACATCTACTAAAGCAAGTTTTATGACTCAGACTTTGAGGACGTCCTCGACGCGTTATAATGGCGTTAGATCGATAACCCTGTTAACTAAATATGTATGTTATGATCTCACTTGCATTCAAACAAATTTAGCAAAAACAAACATCATAATAAAGTTCCTTAATATTAATTAGGTACTACATAAGTTTATTATGAATTCCATTTCCTCTTTCGTTTGCTACATCATATGCGTAGATTTCAGAAGTAGGAAAACCAATGAATTGCCACTTCCAAATGATGCATCAAGAGAAAATATACACCAAATTTTAAATTAGAACTTTCAGAAACATAACTATGGAAACCACATCCGAATTTGGTACAGTGATTTTTGCGGGCGGCGGTAGTCACTTACCATCAAGTGAGCCGCATGCTCGTTTGCCCCCTGTATTAAAAAAAAGTAATGCCGAAATAAACATACGGATAGACATATTATTGTTTTGATATTTATTAGTTTATTACGAAACGTCATATTAATTTTTCTTAAATATCTCCGATGTACACATATCGTCTAGTTTTAATTTGCTATACTAGCTATATCTCACAGCTTTACCCGCGTGAATTACTAATTAGTATATAACCTACTTTTGTATCAAATTTCTTTCAGATCTGTTTTGTAATTTTTTCCCCGAAAGAATAACAAACATCCATGCATCCATCGTTAGAAGCTTTCGCATTTATTATATTATTAAAATAATAATAATAGGATTAGTGAAATAGTTGTTGTTTTCAGGATGTTTTATTCACTGGTGATTTTGGATTTATTATTTATTTATGGTATTATTGTATATGTATATTTATTTGTGAATAACAAAAAATGAGTTCGACCTAGGTTGACATTTACATAGTAGAATAAATTCATATTAATTTATAGTATGGTATGATCAACAAGTTATTAAAGTGTCAACAGGTTTTACATTCAATTAAATCAAAAGTTTTCAGTAAAAGCGAAAATTGATGACAATTTGATTATAGTTTAGTAGGTATATATTCCTTATAGTTTTCTATTATTTTAAATTAGCGCAGTCCCAATAAACGAAATATTGTTCATGAATGTAACATTGGTTGCGATATCGACCGCGATCCGCGATGCCGATGGTAGCAGGCGAGGGCCATCGTGCAACGCAACACGATATGCTTGGTGTGTTCAGTTGAATAGAGGGGCAAGCCGACGACAACACTCGGTCACGGGGCGATGCGGCGCGAACACTACCGTACACCGGATTACTCTCACGCTCCAGTTGTCACAAATATCACTAATTGTATTGCATTTTGCCGCTGCACGAATGTGGAGTCGTGTACTCATTGACACTACTATTGGCGGGGCGATTCACTACAATTTATAATGTTACCTTGCAGATATATGGTCTGTCACTTCTCTGGAATAGTTAGATCAGTGTTTCTTAATCTTTTTTTAAACTATCGCCCCACCGCTAATGTAGTAATAGTAAGATTAGTTTAAATACTGTTGTGTCTCATTTGCATCTGAGACCATTTTCATTAAGACAATAGCCGATCATCACTGCGGGCTATGTTGTACTCGGTGATAATCAATAGGACTTCAGCCAAAGTTTTTATTTCACATATTCCAAATATTATTTGGCTTATATCTTATATATTAACATCCGGATAAATCAAAAACAGACAAATCTAAGTTAATTGGCCATTACAATCTTTAATAACATTGTAACATTGGCTGTTTTCTTTACAACTACAATATACGAAACTGTTTACGAAGCATTATTTTAAATAATATGTACTATAGTTAATTTTAAACTTTCGCTTTGTTTACACATTTTTAAAATATATGTATCATTTCTCGCTCAACAATTTTAATTGTTAATTTGCAGATTTATAATCTTCTGAAACGAATTATTGTAGTAATCATTACACTCCTTGTTAGTAAAAAATCTATCGGTAGTGTTTAAAGTATACCTTGGTGTCTGCGATGGATTCAGTTCGTTTGCCACTTGTCTATGTTTCGCGGTATTTAAGTCTCCATTTGGTATGAATTCCGTTACATGTCATTAATTTGTAGTAATTTAAGGTTGCATTTTTATGTATTAATTAATTACTTAAACTTTCGAGTATAATAATAAAATGCTTTATAAGCGTGTGTCTAAGTTTATAATATCGGATTAACGACTTAGCTGTCTGCAATGCAGTTTTGTTACTCGTATTTTAGGCTTATGATTATGTCCTATGTCTTCGTTTGCTAAAAGTTTTAGGGAGATCATCTCAATTAATTTTTATATTAGTATATATATAATTGCAAGAAAAATATTGATCGTATCGGTTAGGTTTTATATTTCTTATTTATATATAATAATTTCTCATCATACTAGCGTAAAAATCTGAATATAGTTTTAGTCAAATGTAATGCGAGCTCAGTAAGCCCATAAGCTTACGATATTGATCATACTCGTGTCAATTACATGATATCTAATAGTAGATACCAATGGTTGTATGTAACATTTCCTGCATGCAAAATGGCTCGGCGTCGGGTTGCCGTAACCTGAGAACGCTCCAGGAAATGACCACTCAATTGCTTGCTTAGTCTTTTGCATGTGATTGCTTTTATCTGTATATTTCGAATAGAAGAGATATTTTTATGTTAATGTCAATTATAAAAATAAAATTTTGTTATACAGTTAAATTAAAGAAAACAGTATAATATATGACTTTATTGCATTATTGTTTTTGTTCCATATATATCATCCATATCAATACACTATATTTGTTCTACACGAACAAATTGCACAAATTATCGCCGCTATATCTTATTATTTTATTAGAAGTATTCTTTATTATCAGTATAGACAATATCCGTAAGTAGAATATTGCTTTAGACAATACCTAATAAGTATATTGTTTCCAACTAGTTCGACTTCGACTTCTGCCTGAATAATATAATGTAGTTATAGACAACTGGTATTGGTCTATGTATATGTAAATATTTACGGCCTCTGAGCTTCGATTACGCAGTTAGGACAAATGACATAGATGTCGACGGTCGTTTGTGTAATGCCTTTACTAATAGGGATATTCGTTGTCCGATGGACAAATCGCAAAGCCGGCAGTTGGCTGACAGTTTGCGTTTAGCGGGCGCTTCGTCTGCACGCCGATAATTCTTGCGGAATTGCGCTAAGTCGCCAGTGTCTCGTTCCATATGCCCATACACGTGTAACTATTAACAGTGTCACTTTGGTACTATAAACAAAGGACCATAATGAGTGGCTGACTCATACTTAAAGTTCTTTAGTGCAAACAAGGCAAACGATGTATGAGAAGAGGACGTATTTTATTCAATGTTCTCGTTAATGAACTGTTTTTGTGTTCTGTGACGATAACCCAGCAACTATGGTTCTCCAAAAACAATGCTGTACTGTTTTTGTATATGGTATGCACGTTAAATAAATAATTAACATTAAAATAATATTGTTAAATGAAAAATTGTAACTGTAGCTTACCGTTGAACAATTACATTGCAAGGTTGGTTGCAAACGACGATTCATGCAAAAGATTTGGAATTTAAAATAGGATTATTCGTCTCTATATAGCTAGTATCAAAAAAGGAGAACACACTTATGCAAATATCAATTGGAATACTGTATACATTATTTTTCCGTTGTATCGATTTGAGTCCTGATTAGGTTAGTTTGGAAAAATACAAACTATTTTCATACCTATTGCCACGACGAGTCATTCTGTACACTTATTTCTATATTAAATTATGATTTCCAAGACGGCAGTATACATTCCCCTAGTACATGTATGACTTTACTGTTTGTTGTCCAAACCCGGCTGTAGAGATACCTAGTTACAGAAAAATCAGAGGCTGGATTGTCCCCAATATTCCTATGTTTATTCATGTGTTTCAATTTATATTGTTTCTTTAATATTGATCGAAGTATTTCGGTTTAGCCACATCAAGATTTATTGTTTAAACAAACAAGGATACCTAAATGGTATAAAAATCATTCAATCTTAATTGTTATTAATATTTGGAAGACTTCGAAAGGAAAAAATTGCTCAAAGTTATTACTTGGTAACCTCAATCACCCGATGTCAACCCTCTGGAATTATTATACGAAAAATTTTATTAAGAGGTCAGAAAACAATGTCCAACTTCTATCAGACACATTTGGAGCACACTTTAAAAATAGTGGCGTGACACAGAATTCAGTTACGTGTTAAATAAATAGGTTGCCTCTTAAACTGTGTGCAGGGGGAAAAAATTGTTAGTAATGGGGAGGTTAGTCTCGATTGCTATCAATAAAGTGTTTATTCTCGATTGCTATCAATATGAGGTTGACCTCCACGCGGTTCCTCTTAGAAACCATCGTGACTTATTTATCGTTGAATTCGTCACATATGCATCAAAATAATGGACATGGACTAGGTTAAGCAAATATTGAGTAAACACGTCTTTATTATGGGTGTGCATATCATATTATAGTAATGTAATTATTCATAATTAATTGCAGATTTTCAACTAATTCATATTATTAAATTATAAAAAATAAAAAATTTGCACTACGCATATAGTAAAATTAGATTTTAATTTAATGCTATACTAATTTTGATGTTAAATAGGGGACATTAGTCCATTATAAATTTTAAAGTTTTTGCGTTAATCGCTCACTATAGTGCGATTATGAGTAACACTTTTTGTCATTACAGGTATACATCGTCTATATGTGACTGAACAATTATTGTAGAGTTATAGTGCATTTATGAATAAAAAATTTTATAATCACGTTATTCTCTTGTTATAGAGTGCTTATAAAGGGTTGATAATCGTTTTATGAATAAAACGGGTAATATTTAGCATTTAAAAGTAGTATAAGCTACTTTTTATCCCGGTCACGCAGACGTAGTCGCGGCTAGTAGGAATGTAAAACTTAGTTACCGCATTACGTGCCTATTTAAATTTCCTTTAAAAATATTTCTTTAAACTGACTTTAGTGTGTATGTTTAAGTATGGTCAATTATTGTAGTGGCGTTAACATACTGAAGTAATATTTGCATAGGGCTACTTACTACATGACAATATGCCACAAGGCCGAACCGCGTCTGCCTTGATTTGCTTTAACGTGGGTAGTGGTTTGTTTTGGAATATCCACTGTTGGAATTTGGAATGCCATAACAAACACCGGTCGATAAAATAAATTGTGTTGGAATTGTATAGTAGAAATTCTGTTTTTTCTATCATAAGTCTAAAGATAACTCTCTAAAGAAATATCTGAGAATAAGCGACTTTAATTATAAATTCGTGATAAATTATTGCCAAGTAATCTCTCTATTATCTTTACCTTGTAAAGAAAAACTAGAGTTCTATCGTGACAAAATTAAAATGGAAATAGAGCTAATACGAACACTAACCCTGACGATTGCAAAAAAAGTTGGCGACATTATTGCATAACATAGTCACAAAAAAAATTCAGTCGAATCCTATTCTTTAAGTTGCTTGATAAAAAAGAGCTAAAAGCAGATATTATATTATTATCACAATTATCTATATGTATAAGAGAATTTCTTTTATTACAATTGTAAATAATAACTTAATTTTTTAGTACATATTATCATAACATAACGCATTTTTAGCGCAATAGAAATCTGTTTCAGTTTAAAAACCTTGAAGCTATCGCGTAAGTAATAAGCGTACAGTTAAAATAACCATATGGCGTTGCTTCACACACACATATGTATGTAAAACTGGCGAATTTACATAAAATCACAATCAAAGAATGAGCCCACTTATTCGCTTTATTTAATATTTTTAAACAACTGAAAATAGGAGATATATTATTTGTTGGAAAAAGAGATGAAATCCTCTCTCCCCAAATGAGCTAGAAATGTTTTATAGAAGAAAAAATTGCTGTAATTGGTCTTTCAGATTAGTGCTGTAACAAAACAATTTATAAAAAAAGCAATTTATTATTTTTATTAGCACTTGAAATATTTAATTAACAAAAAAAAAATTTGATATTCTGAAGCAATATTTGGAGTTTCAATTAGACTTTCTAGTGGAATTAGGAACTTTTTGACATAAGTTTGGGTTTGGGGGTTGCCAGGATTTTTTTGCTAGTAAAGAAATCGCGTATTTAACAAGGTTAAAAAACACTACCTATACAGTTTTACTCAATTTGGAATCAGACAGAGCTTAGAAAAGTCTGTAGGTTAATTAAAATGTAAGACTAGAAGAGATATAATAGACACAGCAGGAACAAGCTATTGATTTTACTTTGTAAACCACTGGACCTTCAACTTGTTGACTTCAATTGCCTAGTGCCAGCAACGTGAAATTATATTGATTTGCATTGACTTACTACGTAATTAATCATTTTCAACCGACTTCAAAAAGAATGAGTTTCTAAATTCGGTTGTCCTTTTTATGTTTATCACCTCATTATTTCGTCAGTTCTAAACCGATTTGGAAAATTTTTATTTTATCTTAAAGGATATGCTTACAGATTGGTATTATAGAAATTTTATTAAAATCTGTTCACTAGTTTAGATCTAAATAACTGGTTTTGACACAATTGAAGTCAATTGTTTTTTGTTGAACACATTTTTTAATTATTATATCACTAAATATATATATTTCGATCGTTGATAAAATTGTTAGTTAATATTTACACCATTAGAAGGCATCCCTTAAATCGCAAACTCAATAAAAAACTTGAGTCATGCATATTGTATAAAAATGAGGAGTGGCTTCTTCTATGATTTATTGTAACGCCAGCGTCGCTAAGTGATACGAGACATGAAAATATCCTTTTGAATCGGATTATTTATGTCGACCTACCATATACCCAGGTTGGTTCAAATAATGTTTTCAAACGGGTCGTTACACATAGTTTCATCCTCCATTAAACTTATTTTGGTCTGTAGCTACGTAGATGAAGATAGACTAGAATTTATTTAATGGAATGAACTATAATTAAATTCCATTAGAATAAAGTTTTTTTTAATTTCGCTATAGTAGTACCAAACAACTATTTTCAACCGATTTCAAAAAGGAGGTTCTCCATTCGGTCGTATTTTATTTTTCATGTCTGTTCCCTCAGAACTCCATCAGCTTTAAACCGATTTGGGAAATTCTTCATAGTATTCATTAAATTATAGTAATTTTATCAGAATCAGTAAAAAAACTGAACTACTAGTTCAGTTTTTAGATCAAAATAAACTGGCTTTGTCACGATTGAAGTCATTGTTTTTAGGACGCAATCTTTATTACTTTGTATGAGTGTAGCTTTAGAAATCCTATTTATAGGGAAGGATGTAATTTCTGTTAACGTTAAGGCCGCAAAGTAATTTTCTCAGTTTATAAGTGCTTCTGTCTACACAGCAAAATCAATTTAACAGGAAATGAGCGGAAAACACGTGAAACTCTATTATTGAAAATTATCGGTTTCCTCTAATAAACGAAGGAGCCTCTTTTTAATCCTATATTCATAAGTTTATCATGAAACAAAATAAACATATAATTAAATCATTCTTAAAATTCCTTAGTTCCTTTTTTCATATTATTCTTTCTAATACAATCCTTAAACGACCATACATATTTTATATATGTATAGTAGTGAAATTATAAAAAGTATAAAAATGTAAGTCGATGTAATTAGGGCCCGCTAGGTTTCAGAGTTGACTTTTTTTTATGTTTATTACATATTAAAATATTGCGTGTTTTTATTTGAGTTACACAAATATTTCACCTAATATGCATACATGTTTTCGTAACTACTTGAAGGTCCGCTGGTAGTTGGTACTGAAATGAATAAAATGTAAACATACATAGTATTAACATAAACAATGTTAAATTTAGAAATTTTGTCAGTCAGTGTTGTGTATCATTTCCTATATTTATTTAAAGGCCTCAAGTCATAGACCATCATGTTTGTTTTTCTTTCCTAAAGACTTCCCAGTTGGAGAACACTGTATAAAGTCGTTAAACTTTATAAATCTAATAATTCCTTTTGTTGGTTATCTGAACTATTATACTAGGAATGTAGAAACTGGTTATTATAATTTTTTAACTATAAATTCTTAATAATAAATAAAATGTGACTAAAAGTTAAAAATATGTTTAACATTAGCTTTTTTGTTTTTGATGAATGAAAATAGAATAGAATTGCAATAATCTTTATTCAAATAGACTTGCTTACAAGCTTTTTTAAATCGTCAATTTTATGTGATTGTACAACTGAGTACGGGATCTTGTTATCTGCTAAGAAGAAGCTGCAAGAAACTCAAATGGCACGGCACTTGTGCTATCTGTATAAGCTGGCTTGACACTAATGACAATAGGTGAGAATGAAAGCAGTTCAGTAACGAACTGATGAGACGTGATGAGACAAACATATCATCACGATAAACTATCTTGAAAAATTCCAC